ACCCAGCAGGTACCTCGAGCCCTGGCTACGCAAAGCCCTTCAGAAGTGTTCCCTATGTCTGTTTACAGTGGGCAGAATATGGTGCGTCGTAACCTTGGTACGCCCCACTGTCTAGGCACGACTGACGTGACGTCTTTGGCAGATGCTCGAGGATGATACTGAGTCAACTGGCGCATTTGCCGAGACAGTTCGTGAAATTGAAGAAGAGTTCTACCGCACGTTCCCCGCTGCCAGGTTACCCCCGATGGTGCCACTGTCATGCGAGTGGTTCTACGACCGTACGACTGGCCAGTATCTCCCGCGAGTCGCAAGGGAAATCAAGGATAGCGACTACCCCCCATGTTTCTCGGAGGATGACTCTACCGTTCTCGTTCTTTCTCATACCCAACGTGAAACTAATGATAGCAGCCTGACGAAGGCGACGTATTCTTACGACACTCAGCCCAACGTACGTTTCTTTATGTAACGATTCAATTGGTCTATATACTGACTTAATTATAATTATAGAGAGGCGCTCCAGTCCACGAGTCCATTTGCGCCTCTCCCGCAGTGGCGGCGGTTCCGCCCCACCTTGTTGTCGATTCGCCAATGACACCCGTATATACTGAGCATGGTATAGCGATGAAAGTTGCTGGCGGCCATTGGAAATATCACCGGTACGAGACTTGTGTAGACTCGAGTACCCCATCGGACCACGGAGAAGCACACCCCGAGTGGTCGCAATATGAACACGGCTCTGGTACGCTGGCTAGTCTAGATCCCACCCCGCCTCCATTCGATACGCCGGCATCGCCTACTACTAGCACATTCTGTCACCGTTCCCCAGTAAGGTCTTCTTCCGCCTATTCCCGCCAAGCGACCAGCCGTCCCTACCATGCCCATCACATTCGTCATAGGCAGTCTCATCATCGTTTACTAGGTAGTCCCAGTCGCTCTCGGAGATCGCCATCCCCACGACTCGAGACATACCCCGCTTCTTCGTATTCCCTCGAGCCTGAGATGTCCCCAGCTCCCTTAAGCCCGCTGTTAGACGAGAAGCCACCCGAGAAGAAACCCCCGTTGGCCTGCCTCTTCTGCCGAGGTAGAAAGATCGCCTGTGGGCCGCCTTTGCCCGGGAGCAAGGATCGCACGTGCAAGTGAGTACATCGTTTTCATTCACTGCCATCGGTATTCTGGGATGTTTTATTCTCATTTTACCCCGGTGACTTGCGTCACCTGGAGCTTGGAATTCTCCAATCGTTTGGCCTTGCAGATAGCACCGTGGGCCTTTCGCATCCCAACAACCGCATGAGTGTGTCCGCCCTCCCGCCTTCTGGCTGACAGCTTATTTTCTGGTGTCCACATTGCGAGGGGCATAAGGTGGGCATCACGCGGCTTTAGCGTGTCAGACATGGTCCTGACAAGGGCTTGTCGGGGTTTATGCTTTCATGCTTCTTAATCATCCTTGATGGAGTAAAGGCTAACTTTTTGAACGCCAATCGTAGTCAGTGCCAACGACGTTCGCTGCAATGCGAATACCCATTGGAAAGCCGCCGTGGTATGAGGAAGAAGAAGGTACCCGTTGCGACAGAACCGCCGAAAGAGGCAGTTCCTGACTCAAAAAGCAACCCCGTCCCTTCCGTACCGGGACCCCCCGCCCCCATTGATCAGAAACCCACTCTCAATGATGTTTCCCATCGACCTTCCGAACCAGACGTTTCGCAACAGAAGCATCCAGGTACTCACCCCAGCTCAAGTGACGGAGTTCCCATCGAAACAGAGTAGTCCGGTATCGCTCCCCGCCTTCGCATTCAATCCAGAATTCCAGGGTTGACATCACGAAGTGTATGATATATGTATATACATGGCCGGCGCTCTGGCACCTTCCTCCGACCATTTGAGGCGCGGGACTCCCATGTCACCATTGTATCCTTACCGTCAAGCTCCCATAGCGCTTCCCCATAGAAGCCACCCTCTTCGGCGACATCCCGTTCATCATTATGGCTTTCTTTGTTCCGAGCTGATGCTCAGTATTTTGCCTAAGTCAGCATAAAGTCCACGTAAGTCCATTTTTTGATGGAATTCGTCAGTTTCCGTACTTTTGATGTAAAAATTCCGGCACCTTCCTCTTTTGATCTTGTGCGAAAGGTCACGACGAAATTTAAGTCAGTGAAAAGCAAACTTACAGTGACTTAGTTTGACTGGGAATGGGAGCGTAAAGTAATAGGATTCAGACATTGCTTATGTAAGGGGAACTAATCCCAGGGGCGAAGATGCATTAATCGAGAGAACATTAAGGCTCTAGCCTAAGAGCAGTTGCTCAGGAAGTGACAAAGGGGGTATCTTGGGGGTGCTGAATGTCGGATAATGCAGGGGTATTTAGATACGAGACGAGAGACTTGGAAGAGCATGAATACTGGTGACAGGCGCTGGTGACCCCTGTCTTCAATTACATAATCTTTTTTGATTTCGATGGCCAGTTCAATTGTTGGACTTCAACGTTTCGACGTTTCAACTCCTCACCAACATCCCCAATGTCCACTTATTTCTTCGACAACCGTTCACAACACTTGGGGCATTCAATGCGGCCCTGAATTGAAGCTCTTGACATCTCTTCTCGCCGTAACGCGCCCTGTGTGGATAACAACTGCTCCAACTCTCTGGATCCACGCGCCTGGCAAACAGACTACTGGCAGGATTCCCATTCCCCTACGCGCTTCGCTAACTATTCCGACTCTCATACTCAAGTTCAAGCTTCCAGACCACTCAATACACGCAATCATCATGCCATGGACACGGAGGGGGTTTGTGAGTACCTTATATTTCAACGTCAATGTGATGCCTCCAGCCAACCAGTTGTATGTATGACTCAGCTATATCCTTGTATCCAAACGATCCCACCCCTTCTTACCAACCAACTACCCCTGCCGGCCTCCATGGATGGCTTTCTACCCCACCCCGCCCACTACGCCCGCCTCCAGATTACATATATATATTGCATCATGTTTACTATTAGTATGAATTTATTTTATTGCCTGAGAACGGTTTTGTACTTGACTTAACCTGACCATCACTGACCGTGAGCGACTGTTGCGTTGAACATGGTGGCCTGACTTTCCATGACTGACTTAGACACTAACAGACTTGACTTGACCTGTTTTCTTCGATACCCAAAAGGGACCCACAAAATCATTTTCAAGTCATTTTACGGTAAATATTCCGGCCTAGGTCCGGCTAAGTCATTATTTTATGACTCACACAGACTTAGGCAAAACACTGAGTATGATCTCGCAAAACTCGTCGCAAAACTGTTGTGGCAGTGCTTAAGGGTCAACCTGGGGGGGGTATCTTTCACAGTTTTCTTATCGCAGATGCATAACACTGGGTGCAGGATCAGATATTATCTGCGGTATTATTTTGATTGCTATCTGAAGAATATCTCCGTTAAGCATGTCATACCCAGTTATCTCGAGTGTGACCAATATGTAATGAGTATGAGATAGCAACGGCAGTATTATCCTCAACTGACTTAAACCTCTCATTGTGAGTAAATATTTATCACATATTACACGACTCTATAATGAAGGATTATTGCACAATTACTCCACATATTGGATATGTAATGTTAGCAACAATATGTTATCCTGCACGCTGTGTAAGGTACGCGAAGAGTAAGTACTAGGGGTAAGCACACAAACACACGGCGAGGGTGGCCAGCCCTCACAACGTGCTGTGGCTTTACTACATTATATCCACGGAGGCGAGACTGAGATAGGCGAAACACGTAAGACCGTCAGTACATTTAGGACAGATGCGATGACCGGCGTACTACTGTAGGAAATGCTTGATAAAAACGAGGGCACGGGCAGAGTGGCCAATAAGTTAACAATGCAATGCGGGCGAACTGAGAAAGGCAGGAGACACGAGGCTGTCAGCATATGTAGTACAGATGCGATGACCGACATACCACTTGTGACATATGCTAGGCACTGACGAGAGCGATAAGTTAACAATGCGGCTTGGGCGGAACTGAGATAAGGCGGGAGATATAAGGCCGTTAGCGTATGGTACTAATGCGATGACCGACGTACTGCTGTGAGAGATGCTTGATAAAGACGAGGGCACAGGCAGAGTGGCCGTTAAGTTAACAATAAGTTAACAATGCGATTTGGGCGGAACTGAGAAAGATGGGAGATGTAAGGCCGTTAACCTACGTGGTACTGATGCGTTCACCGACGTACAGATGTAGGAGATGTCCGGCATACGCTCGGGGACCGCCTAACTAGCGGGGACGAATGGGCGCCAGCCTGTGTGACATGGAAGCCCAAATTGGTCGACTAGTTGCGAACCGTCACGTACCAGTGGAACAAGAGGGCAAACCCCAACATGATGAACACCCCAAAGATCAATTATCTCTGGAGATCCCCCGCTGCCGTCTCATGCGTGAAGGGATGATAAATGCGAAAAAGTCCGAAGGGAAACCAAAAGACGAGTCAAAAGGCGCAAACAAGAAAATCGCAGGAAACAGCAGGGGGGAAGAACCGGGAAGAGTTTCGCGCCGATAAAAAGACTCGAAGGTACTGTACAGTTGGTTCCCACGAGCCGGCAATATCCGTGTGGACACCAAGCCACAACTACGAAATTATGCAGCTCCCACGCGATCCAGGACCCTGGAAAATGGTAGTAGAGGATTGATCCCATTTCAGACAAAAATGGCGGCCGAAGGCCGCCCGGCTTGAGCCGTTTCAGACAGATTTGAGGGTAAAATGAGTGTCAGCTGGAGGCATATCCCGGACAATTTATGGGACTCCAGTCAAGGCCTGAGAGAAAAATCAGACACCAAGGTCACGCTGGAGGCCTGAGGTCCTTGGGTCCCATGTTTGAACATCCTGTACTTTCCGTACCTTCGTCTTCGGTCATTTGTAATGTTGTGGGGTGTCGTCTGGCCACCAATTAGTGGCAGTTTTTTTTTGGAAATTTATGATGCTATTTCCTTCACTGGTCTCTACTCTCTAAACCCAATGTCCGTCCTCATTGACGTTACAAACACCCCGACTATCAACAGTACCCGAGAAGAATGGCGCGCGGGGAACAAGCCTCCTTACCTGAGTATAACCCCGGTCGAACTACAATGGGCACGAGAAACAGTCCTCATGATTCCACCATCATTGAAGCAGCAGCTGTTGCCGCCGTTGCACCTTTCCATACGTGATTTCATCAACATGGTGCTTCCGGAACAATGCAGCTTCTTCAACCTGGTCAAATCTGACGCGTAGTTCAGTAGAGAACAGCCCTGCCATGGTCTTGAATGCCCGGTAGTACGCCCGGTGCCAGCGCAACAAACCCTGTGTAAATCTGAATTGTCAGATTAGGACTTTACACTTTTAAGCTACTAACAGAGAAGGACACATTGAAGATCCTTGTCAAAGTCACGGTACTGTCGCGGAAACGAGGTAGTAAAGAACTTGTAGGGGACGAATAGAGCTTCTACTTATTGAATGCAGCCTACACCACCAAGTTATATTACTACTTATACATGCTTATAGAGCTTCTAGGGAGCCTCCAGGACTCGAAATAGCACTTTTCTGAGGCCTAAGGCCGATTTCGGACAAATTTGTGATCCAGAAAGCCCTAATCCCAACTTCGGACAACTAGGGAGGCCCGAAGGGCCTCCTCCCGAAAATCAGACATTTCTCCCCCAGGTGAGCTAGGGTTGTTCAAAATCGGACAAATTTTCGAAAATCCAACCAGACAGACTCGCCCCCGCCGGCCTCAATCCTTTTCTACCATTTTCCAGGGTCCTCGCGATCCCCGCCTTACTTTGGCTTTCCTCCACGACTTCATCGGCTTGGCTTCACTGGCACAGCCTTATCTTACTTTCCATCAAAAGCCTTCGACGGCTCCCATTGTTCTCCCGACTGCGATAACAAGCATACTCTCAGGTGCGCTGGAATGCAATGCACACCTGGTGCAAACACTCTGGGGTGTTCTCAAGGACGAAATATGTATGTTCAGTCGGAACATATGTGTGTGTGTGCGACGTACACGCATCATGAGGGTTAGCATCAAACTTAGATAAAATATATAGATTGCAAAATATGGTTGAGATTGAGTTCTGTATGTAGCTAGTACATAGTACAAAATCATACATGGTCAAGAAAACGAGAAAGACAAGAAAGGCTATCGCTATACATTGATTCTGTGTGCGTGCAAGATATCTGGGTATGTATGTATGTTTTGTCGTATAACACTGATTATAAATTGATGATTGCGAGAGGCGTGTCTATGATGGGCTTTTTGATTTGCAGCAAGTGTCGAGGTAGCAAGACGGAGGCGGCTTTGATAAATATATGGCATGAAGAGATGTTTTGAATTGCTCGTTGAGGCGACGGTTGATGATAGTCGGCCATTTCGGATTCGATAATGATGATGATAGATGGTGGAGGGCGAGTTCTAAGTCAAAGAAAGCAGGGAAGAATTTGATCGAGGAGCCGCGTCGACGCTTGTCTCAGTGGCGATGTCTGCCGTACCGGAGGCGAATAGAACTGCCGGGGAAGTGATGGTCAAGAACCCATACGTCGTTAGGCGAGAAGCCAACCCTACTACGACATAGGATTGAACAGCCTAGCTCGCGGTGAGCAGTGGCGTGCGTCGGCGTCGGCGCAGGGCGAAATCGACGGGGAAATGGATAAAACAAACAAAACAAATAATAGAAATACGTCAAACAGTAGAAAAGGAGAAAGGAAGAAATAGAAACAAAGCAAAACATCAAAAACACGTATCAAAAAACATGTAAAACACACGGCGGCGGAGATGTTATGATAGATGTAGGGTCCTGGAGAGTGACCGAGTCCTCGGTACGCAGCAAGAAGCGTGGGCGTGAAATGGAAGGAAAGCAGTATAAAGGAATAATAAGTTGGGTGTGATTAGCGGAGCACGGGGGATGGTAGCAAGCAAGAAAGATAAAGGAAGTAAGAAACATATAAGGGGGCACTAACTAACGGGCACAACAACCAAAACAAGAACGCGAGGGTCGAATAACAATGACAGCTGCGGAATGGGATGTCCGTAGGAAGGTGAAACATGGATATGTTCAAGGTTCGATGCGGGAGATATGGCCGTAAATGATGAATGATGATGTTAAGTGATGGATGGATAAAGCAACGGCAAAACAATACACATAGTTAACCGGGATTGGGATGGATGAGATGGGGATGGGGAGATATCAAGAAACATAAACATCGAGTCCAAAGTCCAAGAAAGGAATGCAGTGATTCGAAGGCGGAGTGAGGCGGAGTGGGATGCAATATCAAACGAGCGAGTAAAACCTCCAAACCACTTTGCATGGAGGAAACATCGGATCCTCAAGCGCGCATGTTACGTTCGAGACCCCATTCTCCAAAACCAGCCAAGGGACACTGCAGATATGTTTATCATAAACATTTTCGCACCTCGTATCGTATCGTGGGCGTAATCGTGTCGTGTCGTGGACTTGCCGAAATTCGGAAATTCGGAAAAACAAACGCCACAAACAGACACCACAAAAGGCGCCACGAAGACGAAGATGAACAAGGCAAAACGGTTGAATGGTTGAGGCATTGAACAGCTGAACAGCAAAAAAGCAGGGCGTGGGGACCAGGAGGAGGTATGATCACTTGCACGGGAGATGGGAACAGATGAAATGCACGGGGTATGAAATTCGAGGACGTATCGCTCCTTGGTTTGGTTCGCAGGTCGCAAGTCGGAAATCGGGATTCGTTCGGAAGGCGAGAAGAGGGGAAGAGAAGGGGGAGGTAGAACAAAGAGACATGTATGATGGAAGAGTGGACAGCGGCGAGCGCTAGCATTGATGCATGCATGATGGGCGGCGCAGCGAAAGGACCCAGTGACCCAAGGCGTACGCGGGTATATCCAAGTTGATCGGGAGGTATGCATAAGCACCGTTCGCCATTCACCATCACCCAACCCAACATAGCATGGCTCCCTCATCCATTATACCTTTATCCCCATACACCGATACTGTCCACTTTCCATCGAAGACGTTCAATCCACCAATCTCAATGTATCTCCCTCAAATATGACTTTACCCTTCTCCTTGAACACAGCGACCGCCTTCACGACTTCCGGAGTATCAAAGTCCTCGTGTTTGTCAGGTGGCATGGCCGCGTTGAGGTAAATCAGGAGAGACGAGATGGTCATATCATCCGAGTTCTCATATGTCGTGCAGAAGAGATGGTCGATAGCGAGGAAGATGAAGTTGCGGCTGCGTAATCATGAGACTTAGAGTCGAGTATAATGAAATAGAAAGTAGAACGATAGAAATGAAAAGTGGGAGATAACTCACCGACCAGGCAAACTATCCAAATCAGCCAACGCAACAGGTTGACCTCCCCATCTCGAATAACCTCCCATACTTCCTCTCCCCGAACCCATCCTCATCATACCTTGACCTTGACCTCCTTGACCTCCTTGCCGACGATTATACTGCTGCCGTTGTTGTTGCTGTTGCTGGTGTTGATGCTGTTGTTGGTGTGCGTAATGCAAAGGCGAATACGTCCTAACGATCTGGTCCTCCGAGTATGGCTCCCCCTCAGCATCGACGTCGTCTTCACCTTCAGCGCCCAACTCGTCAATCATCATCGGCCCACCACCACCATTCATACTCCCATTCCCATTCCCATTCCCATACATCCCTACCCCTCTCGTCCCACCAAGAGGATGTCCCGAAACATGTTTCCCATTTGCGCCTCTCGCAATGCCATTCGCACCAACCCCAACGCCCAACCCATTACTCATCCTTCTCCTCTTCCTCCTTCTCCCATGTTCATCCCCACTCCCTCCTTCCACACCTTCCTCACTCTCCAAATCCAAATCATCCGCATCCCCCTCTCCATCTTCGTCCTCATCTCTACTTCTATCCCCTCCTCCTCCCGTTCCTCCTCGTCCTCCTTGAGATCCATTGGTCATAGGCACGGACGTATCAACGTCCCCGTCCGCATCGACTTCCCCATAGGCATCAGCATCTCCATCAGCATCAAGACCCAACTCCTGCCCCATACCCATATCGTTCCCCATACTCATGCCCATACTGCGGCCCGAAGCTCGAGGACGATGAGCACGCATATTGGCGATAGCAGCCTCCTTCTCCATCCGTCGTTGACTATATCGCAAACGTTAGCAACAGAAAAACCCCCAAAATGAAAAAAAAAACAATAGAAGCAGAAATAAAAAAAAACGAAGCACTCACTGCCTCGCTATACACTTCTCCCGATGCTGACGCCAAGGGTACGCACAATACGGGCTATGCCGCTTTAGCTGCACCCACTTCTCACACAAGTTACAAAACACGCGATGGGGCTCGACTTTCCTAATAAGTTCATCGGAACGCAGCGTCGAAGCACGTTGTTCGGCATCGCGTCTACGGAATTCATGCGAGGGGGCGGAGGGGTGAGTGGTATCCGTACCATTGGTATGGTTCGCGTTGGAGTGTTGGTGTTGGTGTTGTTGTTGCGAGTTGAGATGGGAAGACGAGTGATGAGAATGAGGATGGTTGGGATTATACGCATATTCATGCGCATTCGAGGTATGGGTAGGATATCCCCAATTAGCGTTCCCAGAAATCGGCGACTCCCCATCCCCATTCTCCTCATTGCAATTTACTGAGAGCGTCGTACGCCTCTGACGTGTCGTCGTGGTAGTAGAGCTCGAAGTGGAGGGAGCAGCAGAGAAGGATGAAAAGCCAGATTGTTGGGTTGAGGGGCGAGAGGAGTGTGAAGATGTTGGACGTTGAGCGGGGTTGGTAGAGTGGGAAGGGTGGGATTGGAGGGGCTGGTGTGGGTATAGGCGGCTAGAGGAATAGGACATGTTAGCATATATTCATTATTTTATTAATCGAAGGAGTTAAGAAAGGATAACGAGAAAAATAGAAAACGAAAACAAACAAAGAAATGAATACTAATGGAAATTAAAGATCATAATCGAACGCATAAGCAGCCGGAATGTACGGTGCACTCTGCACCCATGTCATGAGACACGCAAACCGAATTGGCTCGACTTGCCAGCTACACGCAACACACAGTATGCCAGCGATACCACATCACCAACAAGCCAACACACCAACACGTCATCGGCCCAACAAGCAACTCGCCGCGAGCAACGGCGCCAGCAAGTGTCACCCAGAAGTATGCCATATGTCCAGAAGGGAACCCAGAAGGGCGGAAGACAGGGAAAGTGCAAAGTGAAAGCCGAAGAGAACAGAATCAGAGAACATATGGAAGGGGACATCGAGACAGGTAGAGAGACAGACAGACGGCCTGCACGAAATGCGCAACGTGCGTTCTGAGGGACGGGAAATGGGAGACGGTCTGGTGGACGGTCCACAATCCCCCAAGAATGTGTACCACGAAGTGAAAGTGAAAGCGACAAGTCGAAAGGCGAAGACCCAAAAAAAAAAACTAAGTCAAAAAAAAACCCCACTTCTCAGCGCGACAGGTCTCCCGATGTCTAATCCAACGAACATACGGCTCTTCTGCCAACTCTAGTTCCCGTTCTTCCTCTCTTTCCCCCTCCGGCTCGCCCTTACCGTCCTGTTCAACTGGGGCGGTGGGTGGACATGAACCTGGTAAGATTGCGGCGTCGTTGTCGTTGTCGTCCTGGAGATCTACGTGTCGATCCCGTCCACGCTCTACAACATCCCTAGACATATGAATCTCCGTCCCAACCATCCCATTCCCATTACCTATCGTCCCATTCTCATTCGCATGAACCTTCGACTTCGAACTAGTCGCAGTAGGGGTTGGGCCTCCGGTCAGTGACTTGAGTGAAGAGTTGGTATGCGAGTTGGAGTTGAGGGGAGAGATGAGAGAGGAATGCGCGGCGAGACGGGGTGGATATCCCGTTTGAGGTGGTACGTTCGGGACATTATTGACCGTCAGATGTTGAAGATGTGTCGTCAACCTAAAATCACCCAATAACAATCCAAAAAATAAAAACCCAATTCGCAAAACACACTCACTTCTTACTAAAACAACTCGTCCTATGCTTATCCCACGGAATACTACAATACGTCGAATCCGGTCTTAGCCTAATCCATTTACGGCATAACGCGCAAAGGACTCTGTGTGCTTCGAATACTATGATGTAGGGGTCTGAGTGGAGGTAGGAGATGCGTTCGTCTTCTGTGCGTTTTGCGCGGCGGTGTTTTGGGGGTTGGGAGGGGGGAGGGTGGGTGGTGTGGTTGGAAAGGGTAGTGTATGAGGAGGAGGAAAGGTTGTGGGTGGTGTGAGAGGGAGGGGGGTGAGAGGAGTGTACCGACATCGAAGGTAGAGGTAAGGACGGATGAGGCGGTTGCGGCGGTTGATGCGAGTGCGAAGCAAGTGATGGATGTGTCGAAGGGATCGCTGGATGTCCTCCCGTTCCTCCTGATCCTGCTCCTGCTCCTGCTCCTCCTCCAGAGTTGGGTGAATACGTAGGCGATCCTGGAACGTTGGCGTTGGTGTTGGGGATGATACCCCCTCGATGTGATCGACGTTCACGTGGTTGTTCCCTTTCGCGCTCACGTTCGCGTTCGCGGTCTCGGTCTCGACGACCTGCTCGCGAGCACGCAGGGTCCTACCTAATATGACATCAGTTCCCCTTTAGGGCTGCTTGGTCATTGTCTGAGTCTGACGGAGTCTAAACATGCGAACGCGGAGGAGGTCCCAAAGTCGCATCAGCCCGACTAGTCGTCTACATGAAATCCCAGTCGAGTACCTTCGTTCATTAGCTGCCCCAGGACTTCCTCCTGGGGAGCTGTATCTCAAAATTGGATGCCCCACAATTCTCCTTCGCAATATAGCTCCTGGCCGTGGTCTTTGCAATGGAACATGCTGCATCCTCCGACGTGCCTCAGGTCGAGTCCTGGAGATCCAAATAATAGGTGGTCAATTTCATGGTGAGATCACATTTGTTCCTACTATCCTAGGATCACCCTCACTCCATCGGGCAAGGACGCCGAGTTCTCTTTCACCCTTCGTCGCCTTCAGTTTCCCATCTGTCTTGCATTTGCAATGACCATCAACAAAGCCCAAGGGCAGTCTGTACACTATGTTGGCCTTGATCTCCGAGTGCCTGTTTTCTCTCACAGCCAACTTTATGTTGCACTATCCAGAGCAACTTCCCGCCATCGTGTTAAAGTTGTGCCTCCTGATGGGGACGATAATGTTGTGAAATTCGTCTATCCCGAAGTCATCCCCCCACACCCATGTAATCTTATCTTCTTCCCTTTGTTGTTCACGTATCTCATCAGTATTTTACAGCGATTTTCAGATTGCGCCAGTAAGTAAAACTAGCAACGGATTCGACTGTGAGAACGACCAGCTCTTCGAATCGAATCGCGTTGCGGTTGTGACAGCTCGTGTATTGTGATATTTGCCATTGCTCATGATAGCCCCAGAATGTTCTCTTTGTCCTCATTCCTGCATCCAATATCGCGCGTCGCATTCGGTCTCCATCTTCTGAAAAGGTGGGCTCTTGCTTGACGGTGGTTCGCTAAAATGATTGCTCTTAGGACTTGTTTACTGTCGAGGAGGCGCCCCAGTACCCGTAGTAGAGATCGGCGCATGTGTTGGTGGATGCAACTGGCCGGACGACGAAGGTCAACTTGAATGTGCGTCTCCCTTCCTACTGATCCGTCCAGAATCTTGATTGTATAAATTAATGCTCATGTTTTTATTAAGATACTGCAATCAGCCAAGCGACCACGCACGCCATTGTGCCCGCCTACCCTGCCGTCTCAGAGCCTGGCACCCCAGACTAGGGTCCCGGTCAGGACCTACTACTGGATGCGCGCAGGCAGCTGCGCACCCGGGAGAGATGAGCTCAACAACGGGTATCTAGATACCGGTACATAGCTAGCGAGGCATTTTTACATGATGGTTTGTTAAGATATGAACGAACAGTGGAGGGAGTGCAAAGGGTACGGTTAAGCGGTAACTTGGTTCTGGGGATCTGTGTTGTGAGGCTCACTGCGCATCTTTCGGCCCTTGGTGTCACTATCTGCATGGGTACCGGTTTCTGGCTGCGAAGCATCGACCAGGGTGCCATCAAAACTGTGGTCCGACACAGGGTCATCAGGACCGACTTCAAAGACCACCTCTGACCGAGCAATGTTTTGCCAACGTATTACACGCCATAGCGGGCAGCGAGACGTTCTTGAATAACGGGCGGGAATTGGGGTACCTGTGCAGCCCATTCTATCACCTCGTTACCCTTTAAGCCCTGCAGAAGTCGTCGGAACATGTGGTCTAATACTGCGGATAGTTGTGTCCATCTGACGATTGCGTCGCAGAACCACAACAGCGACTAAGTGGCGTTAGTTAGCAAGCGCCGTACAACAGGGTGACGGAAGCGTACCTTAGAGATACCCGCAGGGTTCGTTTGAACAAGGGTGCAGAACCCTCTGAATGCTGTGTCTTTCTCTTTGTCGTCCCAGACCCCATGGACGGACTCGCACCACACCTGCGCGAATTGCGGCAGATGAGGAGCGACAAGATCGGGGTGTACTAGACCTATTATTCCTATCAAAACAACGGCATTTTTATGTAGAGTCGGAGGGGCCTTGGGGTGTAGTAGGATGGGAATCAACCTCGCGATTAAAGGGTTCACCCATTGTTGGAATTCTTGATCATCTACGGAGAACATCGTTAGAGAAGGATGTAGACGGTAGGAGAATCACACACCACGGCCGTAGCGTAACGCAACTTCACCAATGGACCAAGTGGCGTTCTTTGACGTGTTCACAAACCCAAATTCAGGCTCAAGATCAAGCTGCAGCATCAACCCTGGCATGATAGCAGGCATGTGAGGGCGGAGGATGGTGAAGCAGCTCATGGCGAGTTCGCCAATGAGTTCGTATGCGGACTGTCTAGCAAGAGCCTGAGGAAGTTTCAGGCAGAGGGTGACGAGTTGCACGAGCTGACTCTGGCTCAGGAACGGCTCCAAAGCCATTCCTAGCCCTTGAGTCAGGCCGGATAACAATTGCAAGGCACGCACAAAGAAAGGTTCCTCGAGCTCGGGGTTCTGTTGGTACTCGGGCAGCAGCTTTTGTATAATGTTGCTGCATCGCTCAAAGATTGGACCGGCGTAAGGGGCAAAAGAAGGACCCATATCGATGGTCATGTACGCGAGGCACTGTACGCGACGTTACTCAAAGGAAGGGATGTAATTGACGGAGACACTAACCTCCAGCAGCGGGATCAGGTCCTTGTCGTCGTCTTTCAGTTGAGACCATCGAGTTGCGAGCGAAGGCATCAATATGTCCACATATACTGGATTCGAGAGCTGGCGGCCAACAGTATTTCCCAGCGTACCAACGGCCTCATACCAGAAGCGCATGTTTTCGTGTTGATATCTCTCGAATGCGAGGACGAGAATGCGAAGGACGACCGCGAGGTAGGGTACTAGCTCCATCCCAGCCTCCTCTGCCAAAGTTATGAAGGCGCTACACCCGGCTTCTTGGACACGCTTGTCGTTGTCTATGACCATGAGAAGCAGCTGAAAGACAGTCTTAACTAAGGTGCCTTTCGTATCAAGGATGGGTTCTTACGCCTTCCATGGTTGGTACAAAGTACTGGATCATGTGCGTCTCGGTGAGTGACCGGCAGATCCAGCTAGCATAACGACCGAGGGTCCGACAAGTCATTGATCGAACAAGTCGCTGGGGACGATAGCTTAGCAAACTCAACTCGCGACGGTGAGAGCACTGACTTCGGGATCATTCAGTGTATAAATGAGGTAAGGGACTAGAGTGCTGAGGTAAGCTTCAATAGCCCCAATGCATCCTTCGAAAACGTCAAACGAAATGAGATCCGGTGAGATCTAAAGACAGCATACCTTCGGACATGGCACCCAGCGCCAAGATACCACTTTCTCTCTGACGCCAGTTGTTACTCGACAGTTTTTCCTTTATCGGCCCAAGCAGGACGTTCAACAGATCGGCCCCAAACCGATCCGCCACTACTGTAAAAGCCGTTGCGGCATGTGTGCGAAGACTGCAGTAGGTGGATAACTCCTCAGCGAAGTCATCATCAAGGTCGTGAGTCTCCTCGCCATATGCACCAACACGGCCTTTGGCGCCAGCTTGCGCTTCCTCCCCCGCAGGAGCGCCACTCTCCTCGCGTTCCAATCCATGTGACTTGCCACCGCAATGCCGTGGTTTGATGTCCGTGCCTTTGTCAGGGACGGCAGCGTCTTCTGCGTCTCCTTCCAACCAGAGCAGATCATCGTCGCCAAAAACCATACAATCAAGCAAGACAGGTGCCACCCGCCCGAGCAGCGGGTGCAGATATTCGGTAAGATGTGCGTCCTCGACAAAATTAAACCAAAACTTGCATGCTTCCAAAGCGACCTTCTTGTTCTTGTCCTTTGTAGAGGAGAGCATATATTCGGTGAAATTGGTCATCTCCGGCATGAGCTTCTCGGGACAGGCGGCGAGAAGGAGCACAAGGGCCTGACAGACATGACGCCGTACTTGAGGATCCTCGTCCAAATTACGCTTGGATAAAGCGACGATGAAAGCGTCGATATGAACGAAGAGGGATCGACACTTCACGGGGACTAAATATGAGAGGCAAGCCACTGCGTGGGCTCGCATCCTGGCGGAAGGGTGTTCAGTAAGTGCGAGAAACTTGGAGATCATGAGGTCCAAAGGTCGGCCGCCCCTGGGCCTGAAGATTGCATCCAATTGGCGAGGGTAGTCCTCGCAGGTTTTTTCCAAGACATTGAATGCAGCCTGGGATACCAGAATCAGTACGAAGCGAAATGAATGTCACGCTAGGGCATTGGACAGATAAAACGGTCGAGTAAACAGAAGGAGGGTCGGATAATGGCTACTTACCTCTTGATGTTCCACATCCTCCGAGTCAAGCGAGTTGACCAACTGTTGAAGGCACTCTAGCCAATTCCTCGGTTCGAGGACCCCCAGAAACACCACTATACCCCGACCGGCGGTATTGCGAATCATCACTGTCGAATCGGTGAATGCCTGCAACACTGCAACCTTGACATAGGCGACAACTTCTGGAGTGGCGTTTAGAATAAGGCGCGAATTTTTCTGCAAAAGGTCTCCAGCAATTGTTCGAACGCGAACCTCCTCTTGAGTTGTAGTGAGGATATGGGCTAGATGTGCAATGTAGTCCGGCACACCCGAGAACTTGCTCAGTTTCTGAAGACGTCGGTGACGACCATATTAGCTTATATATGGACCATCTGCCAACGCTGTGCAAACTGACCTGGGTGATATTTCGCTGCACGACGGTAACGTTCATGTTCGTTAATTCATGTATTGTTTGCAGGATTTCCTGCAATACTGCCGGTTGAGGGGACCAGGACGACATATCTGTATCTATATCTATAGGGACAAACCATCACCTGGCGCGGGAGTTCAAACTTTGCAAACTCCGCCATCGCCTCACATTGCGAGTCAGCGGCGAGCGCGCGGTTGCGCCTGTTCTTATCCTCTCTTCCACCAACACCACCACCACCGCCACTGTCAGTAGCAGAACCGTTCAGGTGCCTGGAATCCCCAGTGAAGAATGCCCCCGCGAAGTGCAACTGTCTGAACGGCGTCTGCGGCGCCAACGGTGATTGCGCATGCAATGCTGGGTTCGTGAAGGCGGACAACAGGACTGCGTGTGCCAAGTGAGACAGCAGGTTCTTCCAGACGTCTACCGGCGACTGTAAACGTGAGTTAAATTCTCTTTCTCGTCAAACATATAACTCACCCTGTTCTTCTCTTCTTAGTTTGTCAACTGGGCTGCGATCGATACGATGGCACAGGCGTGTGCCTCGCGTTCAACGACGGCTGCGTGCGCGCGAGTGCTGACGGCGTGTGTGAGGGCTCATCACGTATTGCGGACATCAACAAGAGATCGTGCGATGGTTCGTGTCTCCCTTTTTATCTGCCAGAAGTGCAACGGTGTTGATTGGTCTGCATTTGAGTTGTTTGCGTTGTCTAGCGTGCCCCGCGAAGTGTTCTGCCTGCCGGATTCCCAACTCTGACCAGGTGTCGACGGCGAGCAAGCTACAGTGCACAGCGTGCATACCGGGCTCCTTCCTCTCAAATGGGCAGTGCGTCGACGCGTGTACCGCTTGGACAGTTGTCTCGTCGCAAGACAATTTTACCTGCACTCGTACGTCTTCCCCTCCTTTCTCTTCCCCCTTCCTTTGCACTAATGATTTCTTCTTTCTATAGCATGCGACTCGTCCTGCACCTGCGCCGGCGACCCCAAGTTTTGCCTGACCTGCGCGAACAACCAGCTCGCCACCTCAGACGGGAAGTGTGTGCAAGCCAGCTCTTCGAACACATTTTCCTCCTTCTCCTCAACCACATGCACGTCGTGCCACCCTGACTGCGCATCATGCTCAGGTGGCGCCTTCACCCAGTGCACCACCTGCCCGCCTGCCCGCCCCGTCCTCGCCAACGGCTGCTGCCTCCCCACCTGCGCCAGATCGCAGTTCCTCGACCCCACATCGCCGGTACCCCACACAACACAGCACGCAATCGAATCAAACCAAACTCAATATGAATATCAATGCCCAGTGCCAACGCCCCCGCCGAAACTACGAACACGGGTTGAAATGCTGGATAAATAAGGTGAGTTAGTTCCGAAGTCGAGTTGTGCTGGAACTCACGCACCGCGCTTGTTCGTCTGTTCTAGCAAATCACCACAGTCCGGCGACGCGAATTCCTGCATTTGTTATGGAACTACAGTACTATCTACGAGCTCCTGCATTTGGAATCCCTGAGTTCATATAAAAACACAACGATGTATCTAATATATACCAGTAATCTCGTCTCGTTGACATATGCGATGAAGTGATTGGTTATAATGCTAGGGACGTCAAGGATCCAACGTATGTCGTATGTACATACAACTACTTCATGAGAGTACACTCGCCAACACGCTCCGGATCAATGTTGTATGGGTAGAAGTAGCCTTTGGAGATGACCATGATCTGGGGCATCGTCCTGGTCGTAGCAAAGAAGAGCATTGAGCGAAGGAACAGAAAAGGGATGGTGGAATAACGCACCTGCTCAAACCAATGATAGGATCTCACCCCAGGCGGGGTACTGGGCATCCTCGGCCACGCGATGGCTCTCACGTCTCCACCAACGGCGGAAGTCTTGGAAAATTGCATTGTCTTTCGTCGTAGGGAAGACCTTCAGGATGGAAAATGAGTAAAGATGGATGAGAAGGAAGAACAGAGTGATGTATACTCACGAGACGCCACTTTCGCTGGCCTTCTTTCTCTCATCGAGATAGGCCTCTTATCCTCCTTCCAAAGGGCCATCCCGCCTCTCGATTGATCCAGTTTCGCTGACCGATGTCGTCTCCGTAGGTGCCTTCGACTCTTCCGCGCTACGGCGAAGTTTGAAGACATGAACTGTCTTGTTTGCCGAACTGGGATTGAAAGCGATGGTATATATCCTCGCCCCTCTCGACCTCCGTCTGAAATTGTACAACTTATCCGCTTTCAGCACGCTCCATACGCGAATTACTGTGCCATTAACTGAGGCAGTAGCCAGCAGCGAGCCATTCTGAGAGATCAGAACGATGGAAAGAGGTGATTTGTGCGCCGATGGAATGATGTTGGCCGTAGTGAGGGATGCCGTTGAGAGAATGGTGAGGTCGCTGTTGGACTGAGGGTTTTCCGCTGAAGATGAGGCGGCGTCGGAGGCAGGAATTGCTGTGCCGCGTGGCACCATCACCGCCATCCCACGTGCTTGCAGGCGCTTTCTCTGGAGAATCTCCAGAGAAAGAGTTTTGCATTTTTGGAGGTCTCTCGTCTCACCATCTCCCGTCGCCAATTCTTCACTCCTTCCCGACGGAACGGCGCTGGATTCATTTCGTAAGTACTCCATCCCCCCATCGTGATCGTTCTACTCACAAAGTCATTGGCGCAGATTATCTCCAACCTACGGCGGATGGAATTGAGAGATGGGGGAAAGAGATATCTACAGGTCTAAATAGCGCAGCCAGTTCAACCCCATGGCTGGGGGGTCGGTTTCCATTCGACCGCTACTAGAGCAGCAGGCGGAGGGGCGATTAGCAGAACCCAAGGTATGTTTCGTCCGCAAATACCACTCCCATCGGCTTAACGACCCCTGCAACGACAGTTCTCGTGCCAGGAAGGGAAGAAGCGGCACTGTCCTCGGAAGATGGGACGATACGCCAGCTGGGATCCATTTCAGATCCTTCCCTTCCATCTCCATACGCCCCCACGATTTCCAACAAGTGCTTATCGAAGCACCCCCCCCCCCCCCCCAAAGACCCGCCGCCCTATCACCCTCGCGATCTCATTATCCCGGCCCATGCAGCGCCCAATAAGTTCGGCGCTGGTGGAAGTTTGGGCAATTGTAGATTTCGTAGTGACGACACGATCTGTTGCTTATTCTTTCCCTCGTAGTGAATGGCCCGCAAAGCCACGGCCATGTAAACGGTGTTCAGTCTGCCCCTCTGCCACCTTCCTTTCCGTCGACAAATGCTCAGGGACAACACATATGTAGACGGCGTAGTGCAAATATGTGGAAAAATGGGGACCGGGGCCTCGGGGGCGACCATGTGTGATAGGTAAGTGATGGCTTCGGGCATGCGGTCACCGCTGATGGTGAATTGCAGATGCTGCAAGAAGGTGGAACGTGTTGAACGGCGGCGGAAGCTAGCAAGGCAACCGCTTGCAGCACAGACTGCGAATGCCGTGGGGGCAACCCACAACGCAGAACAAACCCCTCCAGTCAGAACGATCCCACCCCAACGCGAGCAGATACGATGCCTATACAGCAGTAGTATAGGGACGATTTCAGCGCAAACTTGTGATCTGCGATTACCAACTTACACCGTGGACGAGCCCCCCCCTTCACCCCCCAGTATTCCAACACTTCCAGAGCGTCTACTGACGTCGCACTCTTGCCCAAATTCAGGGAACAACAGTCGTCCCCCGCCGAAAGCGAGCTCCGCGCCACTGTTGATTGGGGAACGTGGTGCGAGAAAGGCCCCACTGCTCGAGCGAGCATACGGTGAAGGCCATGGCTGATCGTGGAAGTAGGGGAAGATGTCCCGCTCGCACGCACCTCCGCCACCACCGCCCATACCTCCTCCTCCACCACCCCCTGTAGACGATAACGAAGCAGACGATATACTCGCCGCAGAGTCCGGTTGTCCTTCACCTCCACCAGACCCAGTCCCTCCGCTCGAGGACCTCGTAAGCACACATTCAGGCGGAGGCGACGCTCTCCTACTCCCATTCAACGACCCTCTTCGACCACCTTCTTGATGTTGTGGTTGTTGTTGACCCTGCCCCTGGCGATCAATCAAAGCCAACGCGCCAACCCCACTCACAACACCTCCACTACTCGTCATCGGTCGACTCCCAAGACCCACTCCTCTGCTGAGCAGATAAGCCCAAGCCCGGTGGTATTGAGCGAGTTCGAGGCATTGGGATTCGAAGAATCATCACTCAGGCTTATTGACTGTGGACGTGAATCCGAGCCGTGATCGTAAGAGGCGTTGTTTGACAAAGAGTTATTTGGTGACAGGGAATGATTGTAACCCTAAGCTCGGAGTGATGGGTAGTATAAATAGAGGTGCAAGTAGGACAACTAATAGAGCGATTCAAGCAAGGAAGGCAAGGATCATACTGTGAAAGATACCAAATTGAATATGAATGACTGACTAACTAATCAACCAAAAGAAAACGAGAGATCTATGTATGCACGAGACTTGAGTGATATGCTTATATGCGACGTAACATGGACAGCCGGAACCCAAGAGAGTAGTAAAGCGAGGGAGAAATCTACATGTTGAAAAAAAAAACGGAGAGCAAAGCAGTGATACGGGGTGAGTAGTTGGGTGTGGAGTGGTAGAACAGGATTATAGGATGAAGTGAGGGAGAGAACAGCGAGTATAGTCTACAAAGTCCCATGAAAAGAAAACAAAAAAGGAATGCCAATGCCTCCTCCTCTCCCCTCATCCACTTCCCTCCGCATCCTCCATTACCACCACCTCCGCATGCATCCTCGTACTCCTGGTGAGTCGTTGCAACTCGATTGAAATCAATGTTTTCTATTTAGTTGGTGCAGTGATGAGAGTGTAGTGAGGGTGGGTTCGCGGAGGAGTGAGTGGTGGGGTGGAGGAGTGCCGCGGAGTAGTAACGGAGAAGAGGTAGCGATGGGGTAGCGTGGAGGTGAGGTAGAAGGTAGTGAGGTAGGAGTAGGCGCCCTCATGTAGAGAATTTTGGTCTCTGCGGCTCGCGCATCATGAGGGGTGAGTTTAAGTTGTTCGGTGATTCAGGTCGTGGCTGAAAAAGAAAAGGCAATGCGGGTGAGTATCGTGTGTGATGTGTAGAGTAGGGAAGGGAAGGGAGAGCGTGGGGAGGAATGAGAGTGAAGGATGGGAGGGACAGAGAACTTACTGGGAGGTTATACACCGGCGACGGAGTATTCTGCGTTTCATGAGACGCATTTTTCGTGAGCGCGCGTTGCAACTAATCAAAATCTCAGTCCAATCCTCCCAAATGAACATAACAGGGCCCAAAAAACACACCATACCTTGGCTTCGCTCTCCACTGCTCTCTGACCATACATATTCGGGTGTAAAGCGACATGTGCCATTGATTTTGCTTGTGGGAGGGATGAGAGAGATGATGCGAGGCTGGGGAGGGCGACTATTTTGGGTCTGGAGGAGTCGGGGCTTTGAGTGCGGGATGCCATTGGTGGGTACTGCGAACGTGTCTTGGTTTGCTGTTGGTCGAGTTGAAACGGGTAACAGGGTTCTCCCGGTTATGGGTACGCTGCGTGGTAGAACTTGACTGGTTGGCGCCGGTTGTTTTGCCTTGATCTAGTGACGGCGTAGAGGGAGGGAGCTGGCGTATAGATGGTGCCCCCAATTTCATCCACTTTCACACATGTGTTTCCTTATATACAATATTATATAGGTAGACCCCCGACGACAAGAGGATGTATAGCAGGAGATATTAGGCATTTTCATGTCCGGCGCTTAGGTTGTGGACAAGAAAATGGCCAAACCCCTGTCTAGAGAGAAGCTGGCCTGAAACTTTCATCCGCAGTGCGTGGACGAAACTTACCTCTCCCCCCGACCTCCCGAAGGAGGCCTTGATGATGATGAACATGCATGCGTCGAGTGAGGTTAGCGACAGTACCGATGGCGACACCCACAAACGTTCTTCTTCCACTGATCGAGCTTCAACCACCTTCTCCACCGAGGCCGCAATTCCGACATGAAGGTATCAACTTCAGTGCCCATTGCGAGCATAGCGATTCAAACCTCGGATACACCCGAACCAGAGCCCGAGGCCCGCCCCGTCATCCCACCAAGCGACGTCGTATAGGCGTACCGAGGGGATAGACGAAAGATGGCAAGAGGGAGACGCAGCGAGGCATTGGCGTCGGCGAGGAGGAGTACAAACAGCGAAGGAGAAGGCGACCACCCGTCTCGGGCTCGTGAAAATGCACTCACCACGATATCCTGCCCCACAGCGCCCTCTCTACCCCTCACATTTCCTACGCGCCCAGTTGATGCCGTCCAACCGCTCTGTGCGACAGCCTGACTACAACTGCAACACCACCGACCTCTCCTCCACCTGCGGCCCTCAGAGTCGTGCCCATCACGGCGGACGCCAGGGCGTCCCTCTCCCACAACCCCTACTCTCGCTCTCGGCCCCCCGTCCTACAATGCACACCTCACGATGGCGCACCTTCCCCATCTAGCACAGGACGACCACTAAGACCACGACGCCGCCGCCGCTCTTTGACTGCGAACTGCCAGCCCTGGGGGTCTGTCGTCATCGTTCACGCTGTCTGCGCCGCGCCTGTGTTCCTGGCTTCACGGGGAGTCGAGGGGTGGTCCGCAGTCCATGGTTCGTGGTTCATGGATCATAGTCTGTAATTCGTGGGTTCGTGGATAAATGGCCGAGTGGCTTGGCTATACAGTGGTCAACCCCACTAGTCGCAGAGCCCCGCAATCGTCGACTCGGCCTTGTGGGTTTTGGGTAAGCACGACAATTGGAGGCGCTTCATCGCGCTCTTCGTCGCCGTCGTCGCGTCTGACCCGTGTTTTTCTCAGATTCGATTCGATTCGATTCGATCCCAGTCGCACACGCACACGCGCATGGACGCACAACTACCCGGCGTGGTCGCAAGCCGCCTTGATGTCAGCATCAACCTTCGGCGAGATCACATGTCCTGCCTACAAGCTGGGGCTCACTCGCACGCCTGGCGCCTGGCGCTCTCTCTCTCATTCTAAGACCCGCGATTCAGTTGGGTCAGGTCACTCGCTGTGGCTGAGCCAGGATGTGCCCCTCGACTCGATGAGCTCCTCTCCGTTTGGTTACACGTCCGCCCATGGATGGCCAACGAATGGGCGTCATTCATCTCCCATATCCCTGCCTCGTCTCCCCACCTCTCAGCGTCCCAGCGTCCCAGTTCCTCAGCCACAGCCTCAGCATCTGCGACGACGGCGGTGCCGGGCTGTCTTCCATCGTAGGACGGGAGAGGATGGAATAGTCGAGGAAGTGAAGGGGACTTGGCATGGACAATAGAGCTCGCACGCGCGCGAGACGGGCTGGGAGGGGGTGTGCCCCTCCCCGTGACGATCGACGACCTGGACAACATAGAGGGGTGTCAGCTTCGGGCCAACGGATGGGCGTAACGACGACGAACTCACCATAACATCTCTGTGTTTTTAGCCGAGAAGATGAATCAGGGCCAGCAGCGATTGGATTCAATTGCGCAGGAGGGCTCGACGCATACGCATGCACGCAGAATCCCCGTCTGTCGCGATCGCCGTGACTACATATTCAAGATCGCGCAAGATACGGGGAGTACTGCAGGTACGCTAGAGTGTGCATGTTGCTCGGAATGCGCTGATTCTGACTCGGAATCTTTAGGCAAACACGAACGAAAATATGAAACGGGGGATGTGGTGACGCGGTGATACAATGCCGACGTTCCTGAATCCCAGGTCGGGAGTCACTGGGTCTTCGCGATGGATCAAGATCGCGGTGCCCTCGCTTTTGCTTAGCTCGAGCAGGTGGTCCTTCCAGGATGGTCCGAGAGCTGGGACACTGCGGGCGTCAGCGACGAGAAGGTGACGGGAATGCCCATGGAGATACCTCCGTAACGAGTCAGCAACGCGTCTGCAGTGACGGCCAAGGGAGATGGGCGGCGGAGAGAGATGGGCGCGGAATACGAACGCGATACCACGAGAGCAGATTCGGCGAGCAGGAGGTTGGCAGGAGAGAGAGTATCGTGAGATACCAAGTCAAGAGCATTTCAACGACCCCTGCGCCATGCTCCATGCATGCGCCACGTTTGCTGCTCTTGCCGCAATGTCTCAAGGCTCGCTTTCGATGTTGGTTGAAGGGTGGACGGGTTAGAGAGGTTAATGATGGCGGTAAGAAGATCCGTTCTCTGCTCTGATTTCCCCTTCACCTCACATCATTTATTTAGAAACGTGTCTGATCACCGAGTACGCCTTCCCCGTCACGTATCTTCTGACGCGAACGCTGATGCTAGCACTTCTTGTCGGATAGATTGATATACGTCGTGGTCATCTCTTTTCGCTCGTCCAGGTTCAGCCGATCCTTCCCCGTCTTGCATCTGCCATCTTCAACTGGGGAACATCGCTTCTACGCCGCATCAACGCCATAATGGGTGACGCATTCTTGGCTCCCATCAGTGGCGGGAATAACGGCGGGAGAAATAATGTCAACACCAGTACGTACCGGTATATCATGCTCACTCTTGGCGTATGGCTGATTTTACTTTGTTACCAAGCCCCGTTGCCTCTCGTTCGCCTCGCACGGCCAAGTCTCCTTCTCATAACTGGAATTCCCTTCCGCATGCGCAAGCAGAATCGCACGCGGGAGTTGGTCGCAGGGTAGACCAGCAGCGTCCACGCCACAGGCCATAACCAAATGTGCGCCTCCGCCTACCATTCCCTCCTGTCCTCCTTCCATAAAACTAGCAGAAAAGTTGTGGTGTAGTGGCGGAGCGCATGGCAGTCTGGCGTAGTTTCTTCTGTATCTACTTTTGAATCTTCATGTCGTTGTACGTCTCTAACTTCTGCCACATATTTCCTGCTTCAAACACGCATATATGGTCTACTACTTTGTACAGAAAACAGTCCGCATGTTTACAATGCCCTTCTACTACTGGCAGAATTTTGCCATAAGCGCGCCGGCATCGAGCTCATCCATGACCGTGGTATTCTCTGAATTTGGCCTGGAAACGTCGCCCCCACTTACCACGTCCATGCCCACGTTCGTCCATTGATGCATGCTTGTCAGACGTGGCAAGCGTTAATATATATAGTTACTCAGTAGGAGTACCACAAGGGAAGCCCGTCGTTTTTGCTTGGAGAAGGTCGGGATCCATGGAGGGAAGGGAGCGTTGGTCATGGGGCGAGACCTCGGGGATTGAGACACATGTGTACGAACGGCTTGGCGCAACGAGAGTTCGAGGAACGGGTACGCCGCGGTATGTAAAATTGGTTTCTAATTTTGATGGCTACATGTTTGAGCTATTGTAACGTTGCACTCCACATTCTGTCCACTCGGCATAGGTTGATGAAGATGGAAAGAGTCGCAGTGCGGCTGGAGTCGAGGTTGAAGTGAGACAAAGTGGTGAGAAGAGGGAGACCTTTGGATCGTCGTGAGAACAGATGCTGGATATAGCAGGCATTTCATGGCGAGAATCGTTGGCTACCATCAAACCTGCCGTCGAAAGGGCGTTAGCCGAGTCTACCAAAAGCGTTGGCATATTGAGCTCGCCGGGGATGGTGCCCCATTCACGAGCAAGAGTAGAGACGTTGAACAGATAAGCTCGACTATCAAAGGTTCATTGCTCGTCGTTGAAGGACTCCGTACGCCCAAGTAATTCTTGAGTCGCGACTACAGAGCTTTGAACGGTCCAGAAGTTGCGCGACCTCATTAATCTCAAACTTGACGAAGACCTAGAGGCCGAGAGGATGCGAGTGAACTGCCGCGAGTCGTGACGCGCCAAGAAATTCAACTCTGGGTCTAGCAGATAATATAGAAATAAAAGCTCGTCGTGGGATCGGTACTTCGTCAAAAAGGTCATAGACGTTGGACGATCCAGAGGTCTCAGATGGCTATGGATGGAAACTAGGATGAAAAAATGCTGCGCGAGGAGAGAGTGGTGTTCGACGAGCAATTGGTGGTGATGGGACAGCCACTGGTGCGTGGGCAGTATTTTTTGCGACACGGAGTCCATCACTGCGGCCTAGAAGCCACTGGCAGTATGGGTTGGAACACGTCTCGCAGATATCGTGGTAGATACTAGCGAATTGAGGTTGCGCACACGATGCGAGAGGTTGCTTTGGCCCTGGTTGGCATCGCGGGCTCCATAGCATGTTTGAGCACCTCAGTCTTGAGCAGCTTGGCGTACCGCGGCTGCACAAACGTGACGCTGCAAATCATGACCGTGTTAATTAATGGTCATTTCCCTACCCGCAAGAGGCGCACTCACGTAGCTTCAACGAGTGTTCCACGAAGCCCGTGTGTGCCTTCCGGTCCTTGGCTTCGATAAGCTTTGTTTGTATTAGGACAAACTACTCGATATCCAATGTTCGGAGAAAGGCAGGGGGTGAGGAAAGGAACACGCACCTGATCAGCACGCGTAGGCCCCTTGGAGCTAATTGAAAGCTGCGCCGCGACGCCTACTTTGTCCGGGAGGTTACTGACCGCCTGCAAACACCCAACGTCAGCATCACCATGGCCACTCCAGCAGAGGAACCGACTCACCTGTCACGCTAACGTCTCGTCCAACAGTGTTACCCACAGCCCCCCATGCACAATCCCATTGCGCCCACAGAGACCTCTTCCCAGATGCACCCACACCCACGCCTCCGTCTCGTCCGTGGCGCCCTCACCAGGCATCTGGTGGTAAACCAATTTATGTGATGATACACATATAGCGTGGGGGATTGCGGAAGGGGATTGCGGAGGGGAGAACGAGCGGATGACAACTGCGAGAGCGATATATACACAGATAAATAGCAGCTATAGCAGACCAGACCGATGTAAATCAGGATTTTTCAAAGATAGGCCGTTAGCAGGAACTCACTGTGAACTACACCAAATTTAATAGGACGAGGAGTCGCCGTCGACTTTTCGGTCAACCATCGTCTCTACGGAGATAGCGACACGATCGTTGGATAATCGCTGTAAGATGAGGTGTCAGTCTCAGGAAACCACGGTGATTTGCGAAGGAATAGTAGGGGACAACGGGTCTTGTGAGAAGGAAATGGTGTGGAGGTATGGTAAACGCCGCAGGTGGCACTGTGGGAAGGGAAGAAGTACAGGAGTAATACGGACCTTCTCACTGGCTACTATCGACCGTTCAACGTCGTAGCGATTCGATTGGTTCGTGATCCTCGACAAGTGAATTGACACTGGGGTCTCGTCAACCTTGTCTCTCAGGCCTTCGCGGGCGTTCAGGCTAAAACTTATTAAGTATCATAGGGGGAGATTCCAACAGAATTCACTCACGATGCCAAGTATGAATTCAGATACACTGGGGGAATAATGGTTAGATTGAACCTAACATCGGAAGTGAAGGAACCCACATTTGCTGAGTAACAGGTAAAATCCGAGGAAGACGAAGTTGTCTGGCATCGCAATATACTACGTGGGAATGAGTCTGAGGAATGGTGCAGAAGGCCTAGATGCTCACTGTAATCATCCCGAGGGTAGCATCGAGGCTGTACTCTGATTAGCTTCATATACAGTTGGGGATGGCTGACAGGCTTACAAAACGATCAAGCCAGTGTTCACAATGTACAACATCAGCACGCGGATGAGAGAGTCAGTCCTAAAGAACTGTATCAATAACGGAATGTCCCAAAAACGTCAATAACCGACCTAGTGAATCCGGTCCGAGATTTGTATAGGTAGTAGCAAAGCGCGATCGCGACACTACCATCGGATATAGTCCCTGCAGCAAAGTTGATGTAGAACAGTGTCTGAAGTGGGCATGAGCACGTTGCCGGGGCCGAGATAAATTACGACCTACTGAGAGAGTATCCAACTGGATGAACGACGAAATTTTGAAGGCCTTCACGGTGATCACTAGAAAACTCTCGGTTAGGATGTGAGCGTAGCCGGGCATAGCTTTGCTTTCTTACCAAGTCCGCAGACTGACATGGCCGAGGGTGCCGATGATGAGCTTAATCCACGCGGGGTGACGAGAAATGAACGTACTTAGATCGGTCAAAGAAACTGCGACCTGATCACGGCGTATTTAGCACGGTCATGTGGCGGGCATTAGCGTTAACTCACGATGAAAATTGTAAGTGGCCAGTTCCCGCTCACTGGCAGGTGCTATCAGATGAAGGTTTGTGCACACAAGGTCACCGATATAACTTACACCGGAAGGCACGGCGAGCGAACATGCTAGTGAATGAAGGTCAACGATGCGTTCTAGGTAATGTCGGCATAAGCTTACCTTCGAATAATAAAATCGCAGACGGACTAAAAATAAGACGTAAGTTTTCTCTCTCGGCGAAAGTAAACGGCGCGTTCCATACCGTGATGGCAACATGTATCTAATGAACAGCGCGCGGTCAGAGAGGGCCTACAAGCGTAGAGTGAGAGCTCACAATAACACTCCTGCAGCAGTCGTCGTCAGCTTTGGTGTTCAGAGGATACTATGTGATACCACGTACCACACGGGAGTCATGACAGCCATTGGCGAGGCGTAGTTGCTGACAAGGTAGAAGTAAAGTATATGGCCGTCCAGCACCGAATCAAACGTGTCAAGCACCCTACGACGAATGCCCAGTTAATATCCCAATGTCGCAGAATCTGGTGCAAGGGCCACCACGCCCTCGTGAGCAACTCGTACGTTTGGATCGAGGTAACAACGCTTCAAGTTACCTCTAATGGTAGAAGATTGGATATGCCACGAATCACGACCGTTCCGTCGACTGTACGGATTTTCCCCGGTGCAACATACCCCTCACGTCCTCCCACCTCGCCACCGTGGACCCCACTACTCCCCGTCCCTAGCGGCTTCAGCGCGAGCTCCCCCGGGCCACGCAGCGCCCCCGCCGTCAGGTTATTCACTCTGCGCGCGCTTCCGGGAAATCTACGTACGACCTCGTCTCGTACCATCCCTGGCCCCCAAAGTACGGTGCGCTTGTCGCTGGGTAGAGTATGGGTTTCGCCTCTAGGTTCGCCGTAATTTTTTTTTTACTCTTCTGAGTCCGGGTTTGGAGGAGTGGCGGCACGGGAAAAGGATTGCGAAGGGTGGTGAGGGGTCAGGGAGCCAATGGTGTACGAGGTCGCGGCCAAGAGGGAGGCCAGGAGGAACGACGTGGATGTCGTCGAGAGACCACGACGGTTTTGAGGTTGCTGACCGTTGGATGTTGAGTTTTGGGAGCTAGAGGGAAAAGACGACAACGGCGAAGTAGAGCCTCTTGCAGATGACACCGTAGCAAGTGAGGACGTCGATCGACGTGTCCAAATTGTGAAAATAATGTTTCTCACGCCAAAAATGAAAATGGTAAATTATGTATTTGAACGGTCACCTGTGCGCTCGCCAGAAAAATCCTCACTCTCCTGGAGACGTAGCCATTCCCTGATAATCAGAGAGGATGCTGCTTTGGGTGCAACACAACGTCAGGTGGCCTGCTAATCAGGTTCATCTCGTGTCTGCCCCATACTCGATGGAGAGGAGACACGACGAGCGCTGAGACCTCCGAAGCACCTCTACATCCACCTGTCTGAGGACTAAATTCTGAAGCTTGAAGGACCAGCTCCCTGCCTTGACAGGTCGGAGCCGTGTTATTCATCTTCAGCATAGTTCCCGAAGGCCAGGAGAGCACAAGTCAATCCAGACCAGCCGAAACAAGGAGATGCTGGCAAGGCACAGAGGAGGTTGAGGCCTGTCTGCTAGACAGTGTTCAAGAGCAGGAGAAGGCCTGCAAGGCCTATAACCTACAACCCATGTCGCCCTCTCTCTCCCCTCAATGTCACGCCCTCAAGCTAATCCCATGGCCTTCTCTCCCGCCATCTTCAACGGCTACTCTAACGGCTACTCTAACACCCAACTACCCATGGATCCCATATCACCCAAATCAAGTCCCCCCGCCAAACTCTTGCTACACGAAGCGGGCACACTCCCAACGCAGTAAATTGCAATTCCAACTACATCTGCCACCATACCGAGAAGGCATGTGAAAACATGCTGCCTGGGGCACCACTTTCCGTCGTGACAGGTTCGCGCTGCCCTCTCCGACCTTCTCGCTGAAGTACTCGTGCGGCCCGCTCAGTCGACCCAGATGCGAACCCACGTCGTGCGGGGTCGCATGGCGCATCATATCTTTGCGCCGCACGTACGCCGAGCAATTTACCCCCTGAGGTGAGCAAGTCATATTACTTTCCAACGATCATGTACTTACGACTTATGACCGTTTACTATAGATCGTCAAAGACAAGGGCGCCGTGGAATGCTACCTACATCTTATTTCGACATCGGCGCAGACACAGGGCTAAGAGCGGAAAGAGCTATCTTGCTGCTTGAGTGAATGAACCTATGAACTCTACTACGCCCTCCGCCGCGTCCTGCATTTCTACTTTAAGGAGGCGCGAGGCAATTGGTATCCCAACCAAGTGTATTTGCGTTACCGAGAAAGAAGACGTTGTGCTCATGGTGCCCAAGGGCCTTCATGCCTTCCCCCCAACGATGGTGGCGCCCCTCGCCTCCCACCCCCACATGGGGGCACTGCAGCCCGGATGCAAGATGCAAGGCGTTGACTTCCGTTCTGGAGGCGCATGGCATAGGCTTCCTAGACATTGATGCCCCATCTTTCGCCATCAAGACGTCAACACTGATGTATCAAAAGCACAGACGGTGCTGGTGAGAGAAAGGCGAAAGAAGGAGGCAAACCCATGCTAGACGAAGGCAGACGAAGAGAAAATCATCCCCAGAATGAACGAACGGACCAAACGAACCCTGAATCAATAAGCACGACGCGCAGATACAGACGACTAGCGCGAACGAACCGTGGTAGGGAGCAAGGGGAGGGGTGGACTTCGAAGGAGCTGAGAACCAGAGGGAAAGCCAGCGACGTTGGCACTGTCGCTTCTGGCTGGTAGGCAAGCTCAAACACCATCACCAAGTGAGGACGTGCCAGTACTGTCGACACGCATCAGGTACTCGGGCACTCGCTAGTTCAGGACTCCGTCAGCGGGGATAGCAGGGAGCAGTCGAGACAGAGGACGCTGTTTGCGGTGCCATCGGCTGGTAGCAAGCTTGAGCACCGTCACCTAGTGTAGACTGTGTTCGGTATCATCGAAACCCGGCAGGCACGGCGGTCTGTGGCGCAGACCAGCCTTGCTTGTATACATTGTTGATGAATGGGCGCTGGTGGTGCAGCTGCGTGCAAAATGCAGTGAGCAAGCAGCCTTCAACACGACCAGTCCGCAGACGCACCACAACGACGACGTCCTGAGTGAAAGGATACGAATGCTCGAAGGCACGGAGGAGTATGGGGTTACTGCGAGACGGGGCGTGTGAGCGTATTTCGGACGGACTGCGGGAGCCGAGTTCCTCTCGGCCCGTAGAGCGTCCGCTCGGGATAACTTGTTGGCGATGAATGCCATGGTACTGCTCCCTTCGTTCGCGGCCGACTCGGCCAGATCCTTCAGGGGCGGGATTCCGCCTTTATCGTCTTGTAAGCACTTCCGCACCGCAGCGACAATGGATGCGCAGTGCGACACGTCCAGCTCGCCCCTGACGAGGATGGCCGTGTTCCTAGACGTATTCAAGCACATCAGCAGCGAGATCTTGCCATACCACCACTGAATCCACTCACGGGAGGCAGAATCCTGGGTCGTTCTTCGCGCGGGCCAGGGCCTCGAAGAACTTGCCCGCGCACAGGAGGTCATGATTGACGACCAAACCACACCGCGCGCAGTCGTACTCGAAGCCGGGACTAGTGAATCCACGGGCACCAGCCCACGGGACACTGCCCGCCGCACCGCACGACGGGCACTCGATGACCCTGGTAGCATCCTTGCTCATCGAATCGATGGCATCGAATTTGAGCTGGGTCGAGCTCTGCCAGTATTGCGCGGCAGCGAGTGACTTGAGCTCGTCGTATCCCTGACTGGCGGGGTCTATCGCGTTCAGCTAGGTTGTGCGGGAGGATATCAGCATTAAGTTGGTGAACGCGTGGATTGCGGGCGTACTATGTTGGCCAGAGTCTATTCCTTCATGCGCTTCAGCTGGGGGAAACGCCGCCCCGAATCTTCGAAGTATCGGAGGGGGCTCAGCATGTACGAATGCAACGCCAGCGCGACGTCGAGCGGAGGAAGCTCGTGATCTTGAAGTGGCTTCTTCTTGAAATCTTCCTCGCCGTCAACGTTGACGACCTGCGCTAACCACACTTGCAGGCGGTAGGTCTACCGCTGGAAAAATTCGTCGACCGTGGTTTCTACATCCTCCGGTTTACTGATTGCAGCCAACGTGTCGAGAAGGAGGAAGAACACTCCAAGGACTTGGAGATGGGCTTTGACCTTCTCCTTTGGAACGTCGATTTGGAGCTGATTGACGAGAGCTGTTTGCTTGTCAGTGGAAGACATCGTTGTAGAAACGATGATGCTCTCACCTGTGCATGGTACTGACTTTATTCCTAGCAGGTCGTAGCTTCTGCCGAGCAATTACAGCGTTTCGCAATGGGCACTCCGGCTGCATGTTCACGAGGAGCAACGAGGAAGTAGCCGATTCAGGATGATTGCGCCCACTGTGTGCGCTTGTGTGCGTTATTCAAGCCCATACGTGAAACTGAGAACATGAGTGATTAGAGTTTAGCGAGAAAGCAATCAATTGAGGCCGTACATACCTTCTGCGACGTACGTACGCGCGTGGGTCCTTGGTTGGACATCCGGGGAATTCATAACACTGCTCGAGACAGACCCCTCTTTATTTGAATCGTTTCTTCGACCAGGATGACATTCAGGTGGTCCGTGGCTATGCCATTCCACACACTTCCCATAGACCACCGAGATCTGCGTTGTTGATTAACTGAATGCCAGTGATGAGCTGATAAAAGCAAGTGTCATGGGACACGCACGCCACGGTACTTGGATGGTATCCATTCACGGACTCGGTGAAAGACATTACTAATGCAGAGAGCGCTGGCCGAATGAGCCCGAGGTAAGACGAAGGGACACAGACTCACCAGAGGCATCACCAACCGCACCCACAGAGACGCAAACGCACAACAGAATGCAATTGTCTGCGGAGATCTTGCTATGCTGCTTCACAATGTCCCCGATCTGCCTCCCAATATCGTCGCAGAATCTGTCAACTACGCCCTCGCGATTGGCCCCCCCTTCTCCCGGCTCATCTTAAATTTGCACTCCAAGCGCACGACCTCGATCTTGCGCCCGATGTTACTCTTTTTCAGGATATTGGAGTAGCACAGAGTATTCAGTTCGATATCTATCAGATCTGCGCCTTGGCCTTTGCCAGCGTGCAGCCTCTTGCCCATTGCGATAACAGCATCGCCACTATCCTCTTAACACTCTCCGCGTGAAGGTATCCGTCTCGTAACTCCGTTCCGTCCGTCTGAAGAACCCGATAATATCCACCCTTCTTTGTAGTCAACGTTTTATCGTTTCGGTAAAATCTGTCGTTCTATCATGACGGGTGATTTACTTAGTATGACTACGTTTAGGTATCTGGCAACAATAACCCCTCACCGTCTCCTTCTCCGCACAGCGGACGCTGCGTGTTATCGCGCCATGAACTCACGCTAGGAGACGGGCTTGATGGCCTAGGATCAAAGTTAGACACCGCCGCGACGAACCGTAGGGACTGGTGAGCGTCTCTTGCTTTCCGCGCCGCATCCGAGCTCATCAACAATTCGACCCATTTGTCCTGGCATTGCCCGCATAAAATCATCTGCGGCCTTCAAGCACGCGCTCCACTCGAGCTCCGCCAAATCAAGAAATCGGCCTCGCAGAGCCTTTCGCAGTCACATCCCCGGCGCAGGTCGTTTGGGATGAAAGAGGTTGGTATGGTAGAAAGGACGATATTCTCGTGAGTACGTTCCGAAGCTCGCTGGAATCTTTGCTCACGAAGGGATGCATCCAGTTTCCGCGTGTAGCATCGCTCATCCAAACAGCCACCGACTGCGTTTTGTGTTTTGTGCAAGCATGCGCTCAGTTCGACCTCGTGCTTGAAAGTGAGTGATATTATATACGATACGATTGTATCAATATGATCGACGGTGACGTGGGGTTATATAATATGCGCGTGTTGCGGGACGAGGATAGGTAATATGAGTATGATACTACGAAAGCGACGAGCTCGACGAGCTCCAGACCGAATTACCAAGAAAAGAATGGACAAGGGAGAGCGCAAAAGCAAGGAGGATGTCATGAAAGGAAATGCCGAAGGAGTGATCAACAAGTAGGTAGATGGCGACGAGGATGGGGGACTACGAAGACTTTTGATGTGGCGAGCATGCAAATAAACTACGAAGGGAAAGGTATGTGCGGCGCAAAAGAAACGCACACCGCGTAATGATGACCAGCAGAGAGGCTGGGTTCTTTCGCTTGCGACGCACGACGGTGTCTGCGAACAGGAACAGCTTCTTGCAGACCTCCTCAAACTCGACCTGCTGCTCGACGCCATCAACGACCCGCTTCTCGATGTGCTTGACCTTCTTCGGAGGCAACTTCATGATGGGATAAGTCGCGACGTTGTCGTATACGATACGTCACGACATTGTCATAGGACCATGAGCGAGCTAGAGGAAATCAAGTTAAATCAAAGCACTACCTGGAAGTACGATGAAAACTCACTCTGGAAAGTAGGCCGGGCAGGGAGCGCGGGAGCAGCACTACCGCAGCGAGTAGGATCCGGCTTGGCGCTCTCGGGCGAGACAGCCTGGGACAGATGGCTGCGCGGAGCGCGACGGGATTCTGGCAAGGCGCCAGTGATGGCGGGGCTTTGGGAGATTGCCGCGGAGTCGCGGCCTGGAGCGCGCGTAGAGGCCGTGGCAAGTCCGAGTTGACGGTAGATGGAGACGTGTGTGAAGCGTCGGTAATTGGAGACGGAAGCGAGTTTTGGGCCAGGTCGCACAGCGGGCAGTCCTCCGAGCAGAAAAGGGAGAGTGGCCCCTGGGATCAGGCACAATAATTTGCACAGATTGTAGCCAAACAAAGATGTTCAAAAGACCGTTTGCGCCGCGTCCGGTCGCTAGACCTTCACAACGTTCCCACTCTCCATCTCTAAGCCAAATGAATGCGCTTCCACCTCCACCCCGGGCTCTGACTAACATAACCCAACGACGTATTCATCCTATTTTCAGCGCGTGGGAGCTCTCCCTCACGCCCAATCCTCAAGAACCCGCCAGTCCCGCCACGGAACCCGCCAGTCCCACTACAGAACCCGTCAGTTCCACTACAGAGTATGTACTTTGTCTAAATCCGCTCAGACGACCCGTCAACTCATTGTGAATGATTCCCATAGGAACATTCAAGACTGGGTTCTCGCGGCTGAAGAGGATAGGGTTAAACGGGATACTGCGTCGTCGATCAAGTGAGTATTACTCCTTGGCTTCAAAGAGCCCTTTCAACATATGCTCACGCTGTCAGCAGGCTTTTTCAGTCTCCCTCTTTGTCTCCTCCGGCCACGACAGCCTTGCCGGCCGAACACCCTTCAGAAAACAGACTCGATGTCTGCGTATACCTGAACGGGCGCCTGGTTGCCGCCGCCGGGACAACCCAATATGGCGCACCAGCCCCGTTCATTCCATCAACCCAGTCCTCCTTCGACGCAGGGAATTTCCACATCAACATCTCGATTCATAAAAAATCTGGCCACAGCCGCACGGACACCTTTGGCCAGCCCACGACCCTTGGACAAGGCGCCCCTCTGGTGTAGGCGTCCTAGAATCACGGACTGCGTTCTTCGTCGACTTGCTTATTATACCTGTCCCATATGTTCTTGATTTTTGCTTTGTTGCCTGCTCTCCGTACCTTGGATTCTGATAGATACCGCTGTATATAATGCCTTCCATACTGTAACAATATTTCTCTGCCTTTCGTACCCTTCAAACCAGTCACGCCTGATAGGGCGATCGACTTCAGTCGAAATCGAACTTTCTCCACGGCAGCGCTTCACCTCGATGCAATCAGCTTCTGACGCGAGCTACGTCAAGGATAATCCTGTCTTCGTTAGTCCCTTTTTATCCTTACGCTTCTATTGTTCGTTCTGCTTACACCCGCCTAGGAAACGGCTTCGTTCGTTAAAAAGTACTTTTATTATATAGCTATTGAACGGATTTTTGACCGAGAACTTGTATAATAGCCTTGCCTTCTTGCGTTCAAATACGTTGCCCAAGCCCATGCGCCCGATTCGCCATATCAACGTCTGCCTTCCAACACGAATGCTCCCAACGCACGCCGTCCGTTCAAATTTGACCCAGCCCGCCCGCTTTCCCGCAGGACACGCTACCGACTCTGAGTCCCCGCGCGACTCGTTGTTGAAGCCAATCGCTGTCCAAACAGCCGCTTCAAGCATCGCGCTCCTGCCGTCTGCCTACACAGCTCGCGCCTTGTACGATTGACGTCGAGGCCTTCGTTGTGAGGAAGCCAGTTCTTCATGCGCTGTAGCGCGTGGTCCGTATGCTGATACCATGTTTGGCAGCGACGTACTCAAATCTCGACGACCGCAAGTACGATGGACTCGGCGCTTGCTTATTCAGTAGTAAATGGCGCGTTTTATTTGATTTTCTACTAGAAAAGGAGCTAAGAACGAATCTATAGGCCCATTCTATAAATATCACAAAGTATTTGTAGTTCATCTCCGGAAAGTAGGCGAGCGCTTGAAGGAGCAGATTCTGAAGGGACGTACAGGTTATATCCTAGGAAGGATGATTGATAATAATACGAAGTGCGAATGCGCCTGGAGGTGATATTAGCCTACGTGACCTCTACCTGGAGATGACAGCATACTTATTCTTCTGTGTCCGATTCCCAACTAGATTGGTCGCCCTGCAATGCCAATGATCGACTAGCGCCTAGCAGCCAAAGCGTCTGGGACATCCGCGTATCTCAAAATGGCCGAGAAGGGATGAGGGAGTCTAGATAAGGGCAAATTCCGATTAAGGTGAGGCGAATAGGCAAGTCGGAACCTTATCCTATCATCAAAAGACAGTTGATAGCCTGAAGCGCATCGTGAGACGAGCGGATGGTGGTCGGCGTGGCAGCCTTCTTGAAATATGCCTAGTCACGTAAACAGGGCTTCTCTTCTACGAGGTGAATAAGTTCTGGCAGACGGGGAGAATAGAAATACAATCACACCGCATTGAGTAACTATGAACCGGCAGCGAGAGGATGGCAGCAGGTGTATCTTCGCATGCGTGAACCCAGGGTTTGGATTGGGGTCTTCCGACGAGACGCTGCAGAAACATTCTCTGCCGTCATACAAAAGCTCATCAGAGTTGGAGTAAGTCGAGACGGAAGAGAACTGACCTTGAGCAAATACCGTGTAGACCGAAAGCCCTGAATTTCTATGTGATGTGGAGGCGATCTCAATTACAAAGATAGATTGGGGTGGCTGGAAAGATTGAGGTCGAGCTCGGATGATCGCTCCGTAGGTGAGGAGAGCGTATCGCTAATGTTGACGATTCAGGCACGTTGGCGTTGACGTGGGCTGGTCATGGTCGACCTACTGGATGGGTTCACGCTCAATGCAAATATCTGCTGAGAAACACAGCGTCTAGACGAGTATATTCTAGAACGCGGCGAGGGACCTACACACGTGATCAAAGCACATTGCGCCGGCGTCGGTAGTTGCGCCAACGCTTGTCGGCAAAACGTCCTCCGTGAGATTTAGGATGACCTATGGCGATGTCAATCGAATAGAGCGCGCACTTACCAGGTGGCTAAGTTCTGCGAGTGAAAGCAGTTTGAACGCGAAGTCGGTGCGGGCGGATGAGATGATGCCAATACAGGTGAAGCCACGGAGGACTTCGTTAGAGTGGTGGATACGACGGTATGAAAATGGAGCTGACCATTGTATGCCTTTGAAAGACGCTTGCGTGATGAAGATGAAGTCGACACGTTGTGCTCCCGCTTATTCGGGTGAGAGCACGAGCAGTTCGTCAAAATGCTGAACGTTGAGCGTCGTAAGATATTACTGACCTTATTGCGGGGCAAGCTGCAAAATAAGTGCGCGTGCTAGAAGAAGCTCGGTGAAATGGTGGGCGCTGAGAGGAAAGAAATAGATAAGAGATCGCCTTTTCGCGCGATTGAAATTGGAGCGCCAAGGCAATTATGGTATGCAGAGGAGAGACGTTGAACTTGGAGAGGGGAGTATCTCGCATCAACGCCTTCGTTCAACTTCAAGATTATCTTCGGAAGGAGCTCACGGCGGATGAACAGGCGTTGATGGGCTTTGACTCGGTGATGCTAGAGCACGCGCTTTGTAAGTTGAGCCGATTACACAGCAGACGGCTCTTCGTACCATAGCTGATAACACGTAACTGTCGACTTATACGGCGCGGCTGCCGGCGAAGTAATGCATAAAATATTTATTGTGTCCCGAATAAAACGACGCGAAGCAAGACGCTTTTTTCCAGACAAAGTTGGGTAGCGAGAAGGTCGTTTACCGCGCTCTTGAACATCGTTGGTTAGGAGTCCTACGTGTAGAATGCGTTATTTTACCAAAGGGGAAAATCCCCCGGCGTTTGCCCGGCCATCAGCACGGAGCGGCTTGCGCTGCGCAGGCAGTATCGGGAGGTTGCGAGGAGGGCGTCGAGCGGGCTAGCGTGGCTTTGCGAACGTGCGAGGAGGGCGTCGACACGTCGCTGACCGGATCCTTCATCAGATCCGTCGTCTGCGTTCGTCTGGGTGGTGCAGACGCGCTTTACACCCACGGGGTGCCGCAAAGAGGGTGACGAAGCGGCGGGGTCAAAGGGTATGTATAAGTAGCGCCTAGAGCGTATCCCGGGATACGTTGCGGTATGCTCGCGGGCAAAACAAGTATATAACGTATTCTGACAGATAAACGAGCAAAAGACGGTCAAAACTATTTCAAATGTAGTTCTGGAAAGCGCGCTGTTCGAGATACTGTGAACGTAGGATATACAGAGCCGTGGGTCCATCGAACAAACGTAGATGCGTCGCAAACTTGGAAGAACGAGAAGAAGAAATGTCCAGCATAATGAACGAGAAGAAGAAACGTCCAGCATAATGAACGAGAAGAAGAAATGTCCAGCATAATAGAGGTGAGTTATTTGAGGCATATTATCCCTGTTGTGCTCTCTGCCGCGTACGCTGCAACTGCCGAGCTGGCTTCGACACCTCCCCAGCGTACGTAGACGGCTTGTCCTGTTTGACGGCCCCTTGCCTTGGCTTCAAGGGTCGTGTCACTTTACGAGAGCTCTCTTGCTTCAACAACGGCGATTGCTTCGTCGGTTTCACAAGACCTTTCGCTGTTAACCCGTTCATTAACAGATAGTTAGGCCAAATTACGATGAACTCTCACCACTCTGAGGCGGGGGGAATGAATCGACGCCATACACTCTCTGCATCAAAAGGCAAATTTTGATCTGAGCATCCCTTAAACTACCTGAGCCTGATCCCATCTGGGCAAGGCGGGCGTAGATCCGCTCGCCAGTGTCCGCAGTGTGACCATTCATCACTTCGGCAGCAACGACAAGTTCTTTGGCCTTGTCATCCTTTGGAGCTTTGCTGAGCTCTCGGCGTTGGATGAAAATGGAAAGGTGACGGAAGAGGCGCAATCCAATTGAACATTGAAGGCGCCTTTCGAAGAAAGCCTTCAAGCAGTGCGACATGGTGATATTGTCCATCCGGCGGCCCAACGAGACGTAAAGACCGCTTGCATACTCAACTGATGCTTTATCGAAAAGCTCCGGGGGAATGATGTATTCGGCTGCAAAGGCTGCCTCGACTGGACGAACCAGCTGGATAAGGATCCAAGTTGCTTCTGCTAGGACATGGGGGCAAACTCGGTGGATCTCCTTCACGAGCGAGGTTTGTTTGAGGTTCTTGTGGTAGTCGCTGCGAAGCAGTAATAGTGGGGCGCCCTGAACTGTGGTATAGAATACGTGCCGACGACCACCAGTCTGATTGACGATATTGTAATATCCTTCTTCAGTGCCTCGTGCGACTGGCCCACAGAGCATGTGGTGAAGGGGATAAAGTATTTTCCATGCCTCGTCCACCACCGCCAGCCACTCGACAATCTTTGCTGAGTCGACCTGGTCTGGTTGACCGTCCTTGGTGAAGGCACCGCACTTGCTTAAAGCGGCAAAGAACTTGTTGCTATCCTCGTTTTCGAGCGGGTTGAATATACCGTACCCTGGTGTCGCCTCGTCCATTGTATCCTTGATGGTGTATGGGTTGTACTGAATGCCCTCCTCAGCGAGGTCGACGCCCATCAAAATTTGCTTGATGAGCTCAAGCAGTAGCTCGAGCTCACGATGAATAGCAGCAATAAAGTCGTCAACCGTGAAAGTTGCTGCTCCGATCTGAACCGTACCCCCAGCGTCGTCTGTAGTGACGATGATTGGTCGCCGTGTTGTGCGGTTCACAATATGAGTGGCTGTATGCATCCAGCCCCGCAAAGTCGCAAAAGGGGTGGGCATGAACTCCCAGAGATATGTCGCTGTCCAGGTTTTGACGAATCTACGATGATAGATGCAATAAGCATGCTAAATCATTGTGCGCGCGATTAATGACAAGACTCACAAGAACCACCTTTGCGAACCTGTCTTGCCCTCGTTTTCGAGCTCCTGTTCAAAATCATGAAGGGATTTACGACGAGGTCGAAGGTCCTTCATCTCCTGCCGGAGAAGAAAGTCCTCATCGGCGACTGCTCCATCAGGGGAGCCCTCCGCTGGCTTCTTGGGGGAGAAACAGACATCTGCCGCTTGCTGAAGCGAGCTCTGTGGAGATCCAGATCGAGAAGGAGGAGTAGAACTGCAATCCGCCTGCTCATCACGTTCTCCTTGCTCAACCACCTCAAAGGACTCTTGCATTTTGTGAAAACCGGCCAAACGCATCATAAACTGGACTTTCGCCAAGTACGGTGTGAACTCCTGGATTTCAATATACGTCCCATCGTGCTTGATCCACAGCGTGGCAAGAAAGGCGACAAGCGGCGATGAGAAGGACTGCTTGAGGAACTGGGTGCTCGATGGCGGAAAGTAGATGCTGTATAACATGGCATACATTCTTTCAATAGCGATGAGTGTTTCCTTCTTGCTAAGTGCTGTTGTGCGGTCGACATGTAAGGAGTGGATGAGATTGCGAGTAGCTTGTTCTTGGACGGGCGTGAGGCAAAAGAGCGCAGATTTGCCATTCCGAGCGAGAATAGGTTTCAGAACGTGAGTCGCAACAGCACATATCATCATCTCTTGAACTCCCGTGTAGATTGCCAACGAAGTGTCGCTCAGGTTTGGTTTCCAGTCTGTTCCAGGTCTTGTTCGGCTAAAGGGCCATACATGTAAGCATCCCGGTTTTGGCGTTCAATAAGATGGAGTGTTGGACTCACGGTGAACAATCCTTGAACAGAAAACGGACTGAGGAATGGAACGATTGCACTGTGCGGACGTCGTTCATCGAACTCCCTTTACGCAGCGACGCCAACCTCCGGCGAAGGCGGTTACCTAAGCCACCACCCCGTAGCGATATATGGCAGGCAGAATATACAATTGCTGGATCGAAAGGCTCGAGAAACCCCCTGATGCCCTCGGTTTCAACAAAGGTGTCCTTTTTGACACCATCCGTCGCCTTCTGAGCCTGCTCACGCATACGAGCCCTGTTAGCCTGAAGCCTCGTCTCCCAGCTCAACAGGTTTGCCCCAGGGATCGTGCCCACGTCTTTTGTGCTCGCGTCAACCTCAAAGTAGAATTGTCGGTTTTTTGCACGCGTGAAGGATTGCGCAGTGATGTCCTCTCCCTTGGGTACCATAGCTGTCCCCCTCTGTGGGCGATCAGGGGTGTCCGCCTCGTCGTTGCTGCCCTTGGCGCCCTTTCCTTGGCTTTTGCGGCCATTTCGTTTGGTGCGTGGAAGTGCCTTGCCTTTGTTGTTGGTTTCAACATCGGAAACGTCCTCGATATCGCTGATAACGGCGGGTAGGGTAGGTGGAGCTTCCTTGCTAATGCGGAAAGCAGCCTTGGCCTTGTCCGCAGCTCGCTGCGCCAACATGATGGGCTTTCCCTCGTCGCTGAAGGAGCAAGCTCGGGACCCAGAGGGAAGGCGGACAAAATGTTTGTTGTAAACATTTAAACTAGTGTACGCGCGGCGACAGGTGGCGCAGCGACGCACCATGTATATTTGAAGGCCTTCTATGCGGGGGGCAACATCGGGAAAGCGACGATGAAACTCCTGGAAGTGGGCAGTCCAAGCATCCGGAGTGCGCATATCGCCAACTTCAGCCAACTCAACGCCATGCCGCTTGAGAACAGCCTTCAACGCTGCGGTGAAAACTGTCAGGCTGGCCATGGGACCTTTCAATGTATGTACCACGGTCTCCTTTTTGCAGGCGGCAGGCACTTTGTCCGTTGCAATAGGCACCGAGGTCTTTGTGGTGAGATGGTCATGAACCATACCGAAAGGGAGGCCCAGGGAACATTGAACGCAGATGATGAGTTTGACGAGCTTATTGTAAACAAGACCATGAAAATCGAGGTGAATTAATTGGTCGGTGACATCCAGGGGTCCATCCATGCGCGACGTGCTCCAGGTCTCTCTCTCGGGCCTTTCATCGTTGTGAGACGGAGAAGTGGCATTCTTCTTCTTCCAGAAGGCCTTGATCAAATCCTGGGTGTTTCTTGAGTTTGGTCAGTATACCGAGTTGACGTACGTGGAGGAATATCATACCCTGCATCCTCCTCTCTAACCCAGCTATTGTGTCGGTCGGTATAACCTTTCCACTTTACAAAGTAGATGGGCTTTCCGTCCTAAATATGGTAGTCAGTTCTTCGTGCTTTACAATCGTCGGCAGTTTCACTCACATCATCATTCTTAAACTTAAGGATGGCCTCAACCTCGAACTCGCTGTCTGAGCTGGCCGAGACTTCTGCCGATGAACTGCATCGCGGGCCCCAGATGGTTCAGTGGAGTTCTGGATACGCACAGGCATTGTGACTTACGCTATGGAAGATCTCTGGGATTTCACGCTGCGTAACAGAGTTGTGAGTTATAAGAAGCTGATCGAAAGTAGTAACATACACATTGTCTTTGGAGACCATGCTGTCCTCGTTATCACTTTCGCTTTCTTCGGATCTAAAATTTCAATTGTCAATGCGCGTGCATGGAATGAGTAGCCCAGTCAACGCAACGCACAGGCTGTCAGACTCAGTAGACTCATCGTCAGATATAGAATTAAGACCATAACGACGGCCAGGCCGCTTCCGAACTGGTGCTGAGCTACTGCTAGTTGTGAATATATATGTTGCTGAATAGACGGTCACGGGCATAACTCACGGGTCTTCGGCAATGGCCAACCGCGTCAGACGCTTGGTGATAGCATGCACGGAGAGTATTATGTTGTCCATCTGCATGTCGGCATCTTTCTCATTATCAGACCTTGGTTTGGAGTATCAGATTGAATGCCTGAAGCTATTCAAGTGAAGACATACCGTAGCGTATCTGGGGCTTTGGTTGGGTCAACGGAATGATGAGAGTCATCGCTTTGCAGAACTATCAGGCGGGCTGAAAAAGAATTGTTGCGATTAGACTAACCCAGGAGGCCCCGTTGTAATCGCGATTTGCTCGAGTTGCTGAGCTATCAATGCTAATTCGTCCTCCATCGCCTGGGCCTTCTGTTCTTTAACCCCGCCGGTCTGCTGTTGGGTAAGCAGATCCCGAACCAAAAACTTAGACAGAATATCTTCATCGCAGATCCGCGCTTCGTCTTCAATATCCATCGCATCAACGGCTTCATCCTGAGTCGGAGCTTGTGTTGTGATGCCATCTTCGAGAGCCATCTCGTAAACTTCCACTTCCTCATCGCTATCGAGCTGGGAGTTCGTATCAAGGTCGTCGTCACTCTCAGGAGAGCCGAGGGCTGGGGTCTTAGCCAAGGAGGCGGATGGGAAAGCTGCGCGAATTTTGGACAAGATATCCTGTGATAACGGCGGGACTTGCTCATTGGGTAGGTCCTCACTAGTTGCATGAGTCGGTGAGTCGAGAGTCGCGCAGTTGATCTCATGTCAAGCTACGCACATGATGACCCCCCCTTCCGCATCACGGAAGGCGACCGTGGATCCCCACTTCCAATCGTCATGAATTGTCGTTGAAAATTTCAATTGCTTGAGTACAAGTTTGATCGCGCTGAGAAGTTTGATTATTAGACATTTTGGACAGTAAGATGAATACCTACTGCGGAAGTTCGTCCATATTGCGCTGCAAAACAATGGTTGCAGAACGATGATGAACAATGGTTGCAGAACGATGATGAACTCCGTGACTGTAACGTCGATGAAATCGTTAAGTCACAGCGATGTCACACTGATCTCACAAAGGTGTAAGTCGTCGATTACTCGAAGCATGGTCCTTCCGACATTAGCCTCTTCACCTTGTCGTTGCCCAGGCGTGCCTTCCGGGATGGGTTGGATCTTGTCTTCCCTGGTGTGTTCTTTGTTTCGGATTAATCAAGATTCTCATCCATTTTCTCAGCGACGCGGTTTCGTTCAGTCGACGTGCTTCGAGCCGGTTGCAGTGAGAGCGGGTTGTGATCCTAACTCCTTCCACCTGCGGCCACGGTCATCCTCATCTTCGACACTTTTGGTGAGGAAATAGTCTTATCTGAGCCGAGGTGAGTTGCATCTTGTCGCGCTTCCATAGACTTTTGCTGATCTTTGTCCACGCAGCATCAACCTGGGCAGACGTGACCCGCGGATGCAAGTGCTGAATACGAGGTGCAAGCGCGTTCGGTGTATTCCATTCAAGCCCATCCCATATTATCTGAAGAGCTTCGGCAGGCAACGTCACATCATAATAATGCTGATGCCGCGCCTGATGCAACAGACGCACGGTCACTAACTTCCTTGTTGGGTTGCGATCATCTGTGCGGAGCGTATCATGGTGCACGATATTCTCCCCTTGAACTGGCTTAGGCTTTTTCTTGCGCGCAGCATCTTGGCTACACCAAAACCGTGTCTTGTGCCCTCGTGCGAGTGCCCTATGCCAATCAACCCTGAGACCGCCAGTAAGCTTTGTTGTTTTCATTCGATAACAGCCACTTACGCCCAACGGTACCCTGTAGCGGTACAGATCTCAGGACGACCATCTGCCCACGCTCGCGGTCATTTACGACCTCGTCTTCAGGCATGGAGTACTGTCCGAAGAACAGGACTTTGTCTTGAGTACTGGAAACACGGCGGAGCTCGCAGAGAAGGTCGGGTGCATTATCAAACCTCGTAGGTGAGCTCTGCTGTTGAATACTAGTACTTAATCTAATTGGCATTGCCATCAAAGAGCGTTCACTCACCATGGGCGATCCCTGCATGTCATCCCCCCTCCATCTCCACCGCAGTCTGTGATTTATTGTGATGCGCCTCTGGGTGTTTGTTTTTCTAGAACCTCCATTCCGCTCTGCACCCCGTAGCATTTCTTAACGTCCCCTCTCCTTCCATGTAGCACTATGAGGTTGTATTTCTCTTGCATGGTGTCGTTCTGACACATTCAGCGTACTTCAACGTTCAGCCTTTAATTTAAACTTCATTAGGTGATTAATTCGTGATTAATTCATAATGTAGTCCGTCTTTCTTCGAGAGGTTGAGCCCACAAGCCGCTCAAGAGGCCCACAAGCCGCTCAGCCGCTCTACAGCCGAATATTCCCACGGGCCAGACAACGCGCCTGAGGCATCTCAAGTGGTAGCTCGACTTCTGGTGCACGTACCGATGAGATTTTGGGGTCTGGAGGAAGCTAGAAGGTCCCTCAGTATTTGTTGTCAACGAAGGGTTGGCCGATCCGAGGCAGGACGGGGCGTAAAAGCGGCCGAGAAAAGGGGGCGGCCCACAATGGGGCATAGTACGCACCTTAATAACCTTTAGGCCCTTGACTTGGTCGACGTGCTTTGGGCTGCGATCAAAAACCTCCATGTCGGAGAAGAGGTCCCGCGAATTGTTAGCCTTCCTGACTACCTCGTACCACAAGTTGTAACTATGTCGAAACGCAATACCCGTTTGCTCCGCCCGCTTCTGACCCATCTCAGATTGCAAGGCGCCATGGTTTGCCATTGTGTTGACGTGGTGGATGTTGCCAGCGCCATATCCTGATGCTCCGTATGACGCCTCCAACCCAGCCAGCGTCCAAAGTCCGACTACCCCACGACGCTTCGGATGGATACTAACCCCAATGTCTAGAAGCAGGTCGCCGCCATTCGACGGATCTAACATGTACGACCAATCAAGACCATCAAACGTCTCTTGGCACTTGCGGAATGCACTGGAGACCGTGTCCTCCATATCCATGCCAATCTCTGGCTCATATGTCGCTCGGCAGTACGACTTGCACCCCTTGTTCTCCAAGACGAAGAAGTAGGACCCGTATTGCGTCTTCCCTTCTTGGTCAAGGGCTCTGATCTGAAATATGGCATGAGCAAGGCGAAGGGATAGAAATTCGTAGCAGCATTGTACCATTTGATCAAGCTCCCGCAAAAATTGGGCAAATTTGAGTCTGCTCAAGGGGAAAGATGGCGTTGCCGAGCTTTTACCACCTTGCTTGAATTTGACATGGTCCTGGTCATAGCCTGCGTAGACCTCCTCTGTCACACCAATGACACTTCGGAGCGATGGTAGGATGACATCCTCCCAGATGAGATACTGAATGTGAGCTGGAACCTTGGACGTCCAGAACCGTGAGTAAGGGGCTTTGTGTGTCATTCGAGGAAAGAAGAGGTAGAGGTTGACCATGCTGCTGAGACCACCTTGAATGCCAAGGTGCACATGGGGAACACGGCTTAGAGCAAAACGTTGAAGAAGCCAGTCTGTTCGTGCGCCTCCTGCATCTCTGTCCTCATCTGAGGGCGGCACAAGAAGCTCCGCGTAAGCGTGGTTGTTCTTCCAAATTGGGGCGCGATCACGAATGACGGGGCTGGTTAATATGGCGACAGGCTTCATGAAACGCGGCTCCCTGGTGACAAAGATGACGCTATCGATGTCTGCTGATACAGCAAGATCGTCAGGACCGAGAATAAGCTGATCCTTAGTGATATCTACATGCACATGGCGTGATTCCGAATCAAGGCCGGTGACAACAATGTTGATTGCCTCTTGAGAAGTGCGAGCGTGTGCGATCATATCCTCCAAGCCCATGGAGATGACATCATACCCAGAGGGCGGCTCGGTGCATGAGGGCTGAACGAGGTCGTCAGGGACTTCACGCATTATGTGGCTGCCAACTTGAGTGGGTGGGGTCATATGAAACATCTGAGCAAAGGATGGGAGTATACGCCAGCCATAGTCATGAAAGTGCTCCCAGCCATGCAAGAGAATATGCTTGGCTATGTAGACCAGCCCTGGGGCGTACCCCTCAATCGTATCATCAACGGGCAAAAGAGCAGAAGCAGTAGGCCCTGTCTCATACTCGTCGAAATTTCGGTCAAAAGGAAGGGGAAGGCCTCTCAGATTGTTTTTTCCGGTTCAAGGGGACAGGAAGTACAGGCAGATTGTCTTTCCTAGTCAGGCGAACAGGAAACGCAGGTCTCGGGGTCAAGGGAACCGGAAGTACGCGTCGTGGGAATCGCTCTATAAGTGCACCGAGCGGAGCAGGTGTGTGTTCAGTTGGAGCCCCCAGTCTGCCAAGCTCGAATTCGTCGTCGTCCTTTTCTCCACCGGATGGGTTATCGCCGTCCTCGTCCTGGGCTGGTGGAGAGACTATATTATTGAACGGATTGAACCTTCGAGCGCCTTTGAGAAGTTTGCTCAGCTGTTCAGATCGACAGGACCTCTGCGGATGAAAGGGCCTCGTCGGCTTGCATTTCGCGCAGATTGCCATGCTCGTTAGGAGGTTCTGCTCTATCGGAATGACCACAGCAGCTAACAGGGTGGGCGTTAGGGACTTTTGAAGGTTATCAACTAATTCTCGCAAATCTAGGTACTGGGCGATCAAAGCGGGGTAATGGTTTTGAAGATGGGCATGAATGGTTATCCAGTCCACAAGGCTAATTTGGAGATCTCGGAGCATGGTCAATCGAGTTGTATGGCAGCAAAGAAGGGCTGGCCTCTCCCAATAACCATTCGAGTCGAAGACGAGCCGTTCCGTCCACATGTGCGTAATGGCCTGGCATACGATTGGGCCGCAGTCGTAGCCATTTTGCGGTAATCCAACTTCCTTGATATGCATGGTCTCTTCGCCCAATTGCCAGCCATTGAGCAGGCAAACCCTTCTCCAGACATCTTGCGATCCTATCGCAGTCCAGTTTCCCCGCTTGCCCATGAGGTCGCCAGTGCGGCCCAGAATGTGGATTTCACGAGCTTCAGGGCGGAATATGACGCAGCAGTAGTGGTTTCTGTTAACCAAAATAACACCCACGCAGTCCTGCATTATGCAAGGACCCTCCTCGATCAGGGGTAAGTCGTCGTAAATTCTTCGATAACCATCAATCTCGTCGGGTCCCCAAGGTGGCCCATCGCATAGCAGGTACGTCATAGGGATGTATCGAGGCAATGGCTCTTGTAGCTGCTGGTACTGCTTCAGAAGCCACTGATCCATCGCAATCCCGTCGATGTACTGTTCGTGACTCAGAGTCATCAGAGAGTCGCGAATTTGTACCAGCCGAAGAGGATTGATGAGGTATAACTCTGGAACTACTGTTAAAGTGCGATCAGACGTTAACGCAGCACACTTACCAATGGAGTTAGCTCCTGCTGCAGCTCTCATCTCGCCCTCTGGTGATAGCTGCGGAGAACCCATCGGCGCACCTGGAGGCTCCACGTAGTCGTCATCCTTTTGGCCTTTGCTTTCGAAGTCTGAGAATGTAGAACTGGGGTCATCCTCATCGGTATCTACGCTTGATATGCTGTCCTTTCTCCATACAGGGGGCTTCTGTGACTTTTTGGGCTTGTGCTTGTTCCGAAATTCTTGAACCAATTTTAGTCTGTCATCGTCGTTGTCGTTGTCGGACAGAGACAGGGATGGTGAAATAAGCCCAAAGGTGTTCTGAAATGATGCAACTAAGCCCAGGGAATTACCGCCGTCAGAAAAAACAGATGAGGAGGGACTGAGGTCATAAGCATCCTTAAGACGACCACCGAGACTTTGAGAAGAGGCGGGTGAGTCAAGAGGGGAGGAATCATCATCAGAAGAAAGTCCAAAAGAATTGGCCAAGTTTTGCTGAAGGGATAAGATATTCATGGCTTCTTGCAGTGAAAAAAGAGAGCGGGTTTGAACGGATGTTTTATTTACGTCGCTTGTTTTTTAGGGTTATTATGACTAAACTATATGGACTCTTCGCAGCTGGGGCAGAGGTATGCTACTTTTCCTAATGTTAGAAGTGTTTGAAAAAACTCTTCCCCGCCCATTGACGCTGCCCAATTGGGATCTAGACAGCCCCCATGGTTAAGAAAATGGGCAAGGTTTCTCAGCGCCTGCCCAGATCCAGCCATCTCCCAAGAACGCGTGTCCCTTATGGAGCGATTCTCTCCTCCCCGCACAATAGGGCTGGCCAATAGGACATGGCTGAGTCCATTCAATGCGGGATCCACTCCGCTGTCCAAACCAGCAGGAGCCTTCTTCATACACCGTTCATGATACCATGCAGAGCAACTAGAGCAGTATCTCTGTCGATCTTTCTCTGGATCATATACGGACTTGCATAGGCAGTGATATGTCAGTCCCTGGAAAGAATGAGCTACAAAGTAATGGGTGGACTCTATCATACCCTTAGTTTAGGATGCTTGCGAGTCGTCACCAAAGAGAATCGGTAGAAGAGGGCTTTCGGAGAGACCTCAAAAGGAGAACATCCAGGCATGTCATTGTAGTGGAGAATTTCGCATGGCCCTATGCGCAGATGAAGTCCTGGAGAAAGCGGAGCTGCGAACCAACGTACCGAGAAGAGCTTCGCTGCTAACCCAGTCAAAATGATCAGATATGAGATACTCATGCGTCCCAAGGGAGCTGACCGCCTTTTGACTGAATAAAAATGTCATAAATGGTTAGAAAATGAGATAAGGGATATAAGAACGAACTGCGAGTCAGACAACCTGCCGCCTATCCATGAAATATTGCGGGTGTCCCTTGCTGAATATAACCATTGGATCTGAACCCAAGCCTTTTGGGACTCTGACAGCCTGATTTCCATCACTTTACCCCTCCATGTTTCTTCGGAATCCTCCCATGGCGAGATTACGACGCTGCAGGATAAACTCTGTTACGAGTTGTTGGATTGAGGAAGACGTCTTACAATTCATTCTGTTCTATTTGGATCGCAATATCCCTTTGTATAATAAGGCCTGGCGTTGTGGACATTCGTTTTAGAACTGAGGAAGAAGGGGGAATGTACTTTGCGTCCATTTTTTGAGAAGGGGAAAAAAAGGAACGGCGTGCAAATGTCAAGATAGGGGTTCTCGCAGGTGGTGAATTTTGGCATCGTACATCTAGCTATATACCTAATTCTTATTGCCTACAGTCCCACAGCTTCATGATTTTCATCACATACTTTATCCCTCGGAGAAACTTTTCGTCCAGAGATTGGCCCCTTGCCTTCAAGTCGATAAGCTGTCGCGCCAGCTTCTTCACGAGCGGGAGGAGAAGTTCAATACTCTGTCTTAAAATTTAGGAAGATGTCAACAGACAGTTGAAAGAACTCACGTCTGCGGGGATACTACTTAATGTCTTGGAAGAACATTGGTTTTCCCTGTCGCTCAACCACTCCAGAATAATTGTCCAATCAGCGCTGTCTGCCCATTGTCTCAAATGACTTGTAAGATACTCAAGCCATATTGAGGGTTCTTTGGGATCTTGGTGCGTAGACGATGTGCTAGTGCTGGACGTTGAGACCGATGAGACATGACACCTTGTCCGATTAACAGGTAACCCTAGCTCAGAGATTGAGGGGGCCTGACGTCGTACGGACTGAATAACTGGGTAGTTCTTTGCTTGAGATCTCTAAATAAAGGCGGAACTCAGGCATTTTGGACAGCAGAGATGGGATCAGAACGGATACCGCTGCAGTTGCCTGGCTAGCCGTGCTGGTATTTGCCTGAGAAGAAGTAGATACATGGTATTTCAGAACGAGGAAATGATGAACTTACTTTACGTGCGTTTGGTTTGGCCCTGACGGTTGGTTTTTGGACTGGAATGTTTGCGTTTCGTCTCACAGTTATCTCTTCCATAATTGTCTTTTTCTCAACCCTTATGTCATCGTTTCCTGGACTTGAATCTTCATGCAAGCCTATTGACGGTACGGAGAGAAACCGTGTCTGCGGGCCATATCTTTGAGGCGTTTTTGGCACTTCTTCTGAGACTTCTTCGTCTATCAGGAAAGGATATGAATTGAAAACAGCGTAACTCACCATGAGGAAGTTGCTCCATTTCCTTTTCAAGAAGCATCCAAGAGTCTGACAAAAAACACGATTGTCAACTTTGGTAGAAGACATTGTCAGGAGCTAACGGCTATCTACTTTTTTCCCCTTCCATTGGCTCATCCTCTTCTTCGGAATCAACCCCTGTACAAATTGACGTGAGAAAAAACAAGTGAAAGCATAAAATGCCCACTTACATGCGGAAGTCCGAAAGAGGGCGCGCTGACGAAGGCCGTTTTCCAGGGGACCTGGGAATGGCTTTGTGAGATCGCTCACCATCATAATCGGGCAGGGTTCTATTACAAAAGACGCTCGGTCAGAATGTTGGAAGCGCTTGAATAAATACTACCTTGAGCCCATGGCCATAGTTGCTCCAGCTCCTCCGTTCCATCAAACTCCGGCTTGTCAGGGGGATCATATATCTCATTGCCTGCCATTTGGGGTGGGATGGCGGCCTGCCTGGTCTGTCGGGAACGTTTGGCAGGTGGGGAATCACGCTTCTTTGACTGGCCTTTCATGAAGCGCGTGGACAGGGGTGGTGTATCGGCGTCTTGTTGTTTAAAGGACTGATCCTCATACTCGTCGTCGTCATCGTCGGAGATGAGATGGGACCAACGCCGTTTGGCGCCAGCCTTTGATGGTTTTATGGGTTTTGACATGGGGACATCGTCATTGTCGCCGGAATGTGGATAAGGGGATGAGATAGGGCTGCTAAACGTCTCTTCTGTCCCACTCATATTGACGCGATGCTCAACTTTGGACTCGAGTCGTGCGACGCTTTTTTCGGAGCTTAAAGTTTGAGCTCCGACAGACGCCAATTTGGTATAGACCTCCGGTTTTCCGGTGAGAATAAGCGCCCAAAA